CTGGGTACTCGATACAACGAAAAGCGGCTGGCAACCAAAGCAAAATACCAGCCAGAAAGATGGGTAAGTACAAAGAGGTGGAAAAACAGATCGTAGAGGGACCGAGTCGAGCTTAGAAAACGGAGATGAAGTTTCCAATTCTCTCCTTCTGGTTCTGAGCGATGCATTCCGAGATCCAGGTAACGTTTCGGATTTCCTAGGCGATATTAGTTTCTCGAAAATTATAGAGATTTGGTTTGAGAGACGTACCTGCTCCTTCAACTTCATCCAGGCGTACACCACAGCCGGAGTGAATTGACGGGTGAAAACCAGCTTCGACAGATCCATCTCCTTTTGGTAGAAAAGATCCTCTAAACTCTTCCCATCTGCCGGACCTCCACCCATACCACCGAGACCGCCGCTGCCTTGGCTCAGACCCACAGCATCAAAGAATGTCTTGTAATCCGCCACAGCGCTTACAGCCAAGGCCACACCCTCGACATCCTCTGCCCGGGAAAGCATGAGACTGCCCTCCGGGTAGAGCTTGCCGAACTCCGGGTACAATTTCCTCCGCTCGAGCTTGGACAGCTCGGTGCCAAAGGAGTTGAGAGTAATATTGATTGCACGGCGGTCCGCCTCGAACTGCAGAATCTCCGCCATGACGTCCTGTGTTGGTGTCCCGCTGAAGTCTGGGTGGGTGTTGATGAAGTTGTAAAAGTCCTCCAAGTAGTTCTTGTAGAGGGTGTTGCGAACGATCTCGATGTTCAGCTCGTCCAAGTCCTGGTGGCTCAGACTGCCCTTGAAGTAGGCGGCCAGTGGGGTCTCGATCAGTACCGAGTTATACAATTCCTCGATGTTTGTCGCAACGCACAGCACAGGAAGTGTCTCGAACCATCCTAGTGGGTGGCATCGCTCCAAAAGTTCCCGGGTGTCTCGTTCATGCAGAGTGCCTGTGATCAACAGGGCAATGTTATCGATCATGTATCCGTATGTCATGTATTCGAGGAACTTGGCAGAAGAGCCTGTCGCTTGTGCGATCAGGTACTTGAATTCAGACACAAGTTTATCGGTCATCCGGCTGGCCAAATCGGAGGTGGAGGGGTTGGGGGAAAGAGAGGCAAGGAAATCGCCATATGAGGGAGCAAGCTGGAGTTTGACATCTATTGGATGTGATTGTCAGAATCAATATGAAGGAATAGAAATCACAGAGTCAGTGGGATCAATAGAGCGTACCATCAATTGTCTCGCATTGAGTGAGGTTGGAATAGTTCTGGCCGGTCAACAGGCTGTTCCGATAGCCGCGAACAATGCCCTCGACATATCTAAGAGAGTCAACGGGCTATTCGGACCAAGCAAAGACAGTAAATCACATACCCGCCGTTAACATTAAAGAATAGGCCCTCCATGGTGAATGTGGAGAAGATGATTGGAGAGACACAGCTGTAGCTCCATCCGTCCTTGAACACGCATAGGGCTTAGTCATGCACCTAGCCACACGGCTAAGCCACTCGTGGCACCCGCTTTTCAACTTTTTTTCTTCCGTGCAAATTTAGATTCAATTTCTCCAACGACACCGGTGGCCGACGCCCTACGCTAATTATTTTTTCCACCATTTCATCAGTTCGGTTTATCGTTCGCTTTGATTAGATTATTTCTTTCCTGTTATTTTTTCGATCCTAAACGCCGTGGCCGCGCACCATGACGCTTTTCATCCTCACTGAGACCAGCGCGGGCTATGCCCTGCTGAAGGCCAAGGACAAGAAGCTCCTCAAGCGTGATGATATCGCCGAGGAGGCTTCCACCGCCGAGGGTGTTTCCAACCTGTACGTCGATTGTGTCTTCCAATTCCGTCAAATAAAAATTTGAGTGGGAACGAACGGACTCGCTGAAGAGGCGCAAAAAAATCGTTATCGAGGACAATGTCACTAACAGACCCTCTAGTCTCAAGCTGAAGAGTTTCCAGAAGTTCGACAGCGCTGCCTCAGCTTTGGAGGAGGCTGCCGCCATCATGGAGGGCAAGGTCACCCCCGCCCTGGCCTCGCTTCTTGACGGAATTAAGGATGAGAAGAAGGTCTCCCTCGCTGTTGCCGATACCAAGCTCGGTAGGTCAATCGATTGAAATCTCTTCCCAGATTATGTATGCTGACTGTGGTTGTGAATAGGAAGCTCCATCAGCAAGCTTCCCGGTCTTGACATCCAGTTGATTGCTGACTCCAGCACCAACGACATTTTCCGTGCCATCCGTGAGCACCTCACCACCCTCATTCCCGGCCTTGCCCCCAGTGATATGTCCACCATGTCCCTTGGTCTGTCCCACTCTCTCGCCCGTCACAAGCTCAAGTTCTCCCCCGACAAGATCGATACTATGATCGTCCAGGCCATCAGTCTGCTCGATGATCTTGACAAGGAGTTGAACACCTACGCTATGCGTGTGAAGGAATGGTACGGATGGCACTTCCCCGAGCTGGCTAAGATCCTCAATGACAACATTGCCTACGCCAAGCTCGTTCTGAAGATGGGTATGCGCTCCAACTGGGAGTCCGCCGATCTTGCTGAGATCCTCCCCGAGGAGATTGAGGGTGCTGTCAAGGCTGCTGCCGATCGCTCCATGGGTACCGAGATCAGCGAGGATGATCTGGAGAACATCCAGGCTCTCGCTGAGCAGGTCGTTGGTTTCTACGAATACCGTGCCCAGCTTGCCAGCTACCTCACTTCCCGCATGAACGCCATTGCCCCCAACCTGACTGCCCTTGTCGGTGACCTCGTTGGTGCCCGTCTGATTGCCCACGCTGGCAGCCTTACCAGCTTGTCCAAGAGCCCCGCCAGTACCATCCAGATTCTGGGTGCCGAGAAGGCCCTTTTCCGTGCCCTCAAGACTAAGCACGATACTCCCAAGTACGGTCTGATCTACCACGCTTCTTTGATCGGCCAGGCCACCGGCCGCAACAAGGGTAAGATGGCCCGTATCCTCGCCGCCAAGGCCGCCCTTGGTATCCGTGTCGACTCCCTCGCCGAGTGGAGCGATGAGGCCACCGAGGAGGATAAGGCTGCTCTTGGTACCGAGGCTCGCTTCAACCTTGAGCGCAAGCTCGCTGGTATGGAGGGCAAGCCCATTAAGCCCCGTGGTGTGGCCATTGCCCCCAGCGGTGCTGCTGAGAAGTTCGACCTGAAGGAAGCCCGCAAGTACAACCCCGATGCCGATGCCCTGGCCTCCGAGGAGCCTGCTGCCGTTCAGAAGGATAAGAAGCAGAAGAAGCTTGTCGAGGAGGTTGAGGATGAGGAGATGGCTGATGCCGACTCTGATGAGGAGGCTGAGGATTCTGATGAGTCCGAGGATGAGGCCCCCAAGAAGAAGTCCAAGAAGACCGACATCGAGGCATTGGCTGCTAAGGCTGGTCTCAGCGTTAAGCGATACGAGCGGAAGCTCGAGCGTGGCGAGATCACCTTCGATAAAGAGGGCAACCCCACCTCAGTCAGCAAGAAGGACCTGAAGAAGTCCAAGAAGGATGCCAAGAAGGCCAGCAAGGACGATGGAAAGAAGCGCAAGCGTTCCGAGGACGATGATGAGAAGAAGAAGAAGAAGAAGTCCAAGGGAGAGTAAGCGTATGTTTTCAAAAGTTTGTGCAATGTGACCGGATGGCTTTCCTGGGATCTGTATGATATCACACCTTTTTTCATTTCTGTTTTTTTTTGTTGCAATCTTCCTGTCGCTCGCATGTTTTGGGGCATTTTAGGTTGATCTCCGGTCTTTCACTGGCGCAGAGGGTGCTCGTTAGGAACAAGGCAGTACAGTTTTAGCTGGAATAATCTGTTCATACTTCAGTACTGGATTGTAAAGTTGTAGTCATGCATCTCAAGTTGTAATCTCAAAACAATCCGTTCAGGCCTCATCTCCGTTGCTTTGCCTCTATAATTCCCGGATTTGGCCTAGATATGTAGGTAGATAAAGACGCCGCCTAGGTTCTGCCGGCAGTTCAAACAATTTTCCTTTCTTCAGTCCAGTCACCCATTTGCTCCAGTCTATCTTTCCAATTCAACACACAAAATGAGGGTAAGAACTATTCTAGTTGAAGCTCAAGAATACTGCTAACAAAATAATCTAGATCATTGACCCTCAAACCGCCGTCCTGACCAATGTCGAGGTCCTGGCCTATCTGACCTCCAATCCACCCCGCCGACCACCGCCAAATTCGGGGAACTGGGCACCAAGCCCAGATCTCAGAGACCATAATACAGTGGTTAAAGAGGTGAGCAATCCCATAATTCCTTCATCGTCTATTCGCGGGGTATTGTGGCCTAGTGCAACCACACCACAGACCCCAACGTGAAGCAGAGTCGACCAGACCCCAGGCTCCTAAACTAGACACCAAGAGACCAACGATAGAAGAGAAGCACCCTATTAACTCTTCCAGATTCACAATTATGCAAGCCGTCTCTCCCCCCATCTCCTACGATACCCCCGCTACACAGCCCGCCCTTCCTCCCCCCAGTCGAAATCACAATCGCAAGCCGCAATGACCGGCACACTGCGAACTTCAAATCCAGCAAATACAGAGGCAGATGCTAATTCCCTGCCGCCACCAATCCCTTCCACAGAAACAACACCCATGGACACCGCCCTTCGGGACCTAGTAGTCCGCCTACAGCCCTACGGACTGACCAAAGCTGAGGTCGTTATGATCCTGAATCTCGGGGTGGGACTGAGCAGTAATCCTGCCAGCGGGGAAGCTGGGGAGGAAGGTGCTAATGGAGAAGCAATGGAAGTGGATGGGGAAGGGGAGGGTGAAGAAGGCGAGGAGGAAGATTACACTGCGGTGGTGTTGATGGATGGTGTTATTGAAGAGCGGGAGCTTAGACTTTCTGACGAAGATGTTAAGGCTATCTTGGCTATCATTAAGGAAACCCTTACGGCGGATTATGAGAACGTGAAAGGGTGAGAATTTGAATAGTTGTTTCGTCAATATATCATAACAAGAATCAAGAAAGAAACCAGTCTGCTACTCCCAACCTCCACGGCAGATTCACAATGGGAAAGGCCAAATTGCCTTCACTTCCTCCGGGGTTTTCTCACCCGCGATTCGCTCAATGTACATGTCCTGCAATTGCTTGTTTAGGTTTCGTATGTTCTCGAAATCCCAATGTGGTGATATCCAGCCTTCGGCATCGGTATCCAGACATTCCCGAGCAAGGACCTGGACTTGGTTCCAACCTTCATAATCAGCGAATTGGCGCTGATGGGTCTCAATCTCTTCTTCTGTAAATGTGAATGGACAATCCCCCGTGAATCCCAAGTCTGACCAGCTCTGGAATATCTCTACAAGACATTCACGGAGTGGGAGAACACCCATCTCCGAGGTCTCACCACAACGGGTGAACAGCTCTCGAAAAACCCGCGGCACATTCATGGCGGTATACGCCGGTCTATTCTCGAGATACGTGGCGATCTCGTAAGCCTTGGCCCGCATCTCTTGCTCCCACTCATTCAATGCAGCCTTTTTTTCTTCCTCGTTTAACTGATCAAAGTCGTCCGGCAGCTTCGGTTGTACAGGGCCTCTCACATATTCAGTCTCCTGTGCAGGATTTAGGAATACTGGCCATCGAGCTTGGAGGAACGCTGGCAAGACCTGCACTCCTTGCAAATCAATGAAAGATACTATCTGCGAGTGTTCATCGGGCGAGACGTAAATGTTTCCCATATGTAAGTCCGTGTGCCAGAGTGTTGGTTGAGAAGACCGAGAAAGGATGGTATTATCATCCAAAAGCATCATGAGGCGTATCGTAGTTTCTAGAAGTTGGGTATGTTCTTCAACACTTCCGCAGTAGAAATGCGCATGGCTCGGAAGATGTCCATTGGAGATTCGAGACAACTCTCTTCTTGCGATGGATATTCCCAAGGCCGAGATTGTACCCCCTGGAAGCACGTTTAGTTGGTGCCATGTCAAATCACAGGATACTATACTCACATGGCCCGATATCATGCACACTTGCGATATCGGTTTCTATTCCCTCTGTTTGATATGCACGGTCACAAGAGGGACCTATGCAGAAAGAACCTGTTGGATCAATATCTTTGTCAAGAGGTATCTGATTTGAAATGTTCCTCTCTTTCTGAAGATAAAGTCCCCCATATGCAGGAAATCGAATAGCCGACAGCTGCGCCTCCAGCTTTGTCAGGCCTCTGATGAGTTTTGGCTTTTCCACTCCTGACATCCTTCCCCAAACCTCAGAAAGTTGGACACCTGAAGCTTTCTCCATGATGATATACTCAGCCCCCACGGCGTTGGATCTGTCCGAGGACCATGATAGTACCCGAGGAACGGGAATACTAGTGTGTTTTCTTACTTGTTGATTATTAGTATTTGAAGCCTTGCAACACTACCAGAAATCACGTACAGAATTCTAACACACTCACCTCGCACTCTGTGATCAAGACTGCAGGCCCGGCAACGCGACTCGGAATTTTGGCGATGACTTCCATCCCATTCTCCTTTTGCATCAGAAGAACTTTACTAAAGCCGCCTTCCATCTTCTCAATAGCTGTGATTTGAGATGATTGACCGCCAGCAGTGGCAGCCGTACTGCAAAGCGCGTCCAGGTCGAATTTCACATATCGTCGGTCAAGTTGGTTCTTTTCGTCAACAAGGAACCGGCCATTGGTATAGGCAAAGAGTTCTTCGCGACCGATTGATCTGCCTTTGGAATTTAGCAAAAGGGACCAATTCCAGATTTCTATTACATACCTCGACAAGTTATCGAAAGATAAGCTCTTTGTGGTTTCTGTATGCGCTTGACGTTCCGAAGAAAGGAGAACATGATAGGGTCTCTATTGCCCACGGGGGTCAGATGTCACGACAGATGTCAATGGATGCAAATGGAATAATATTGCTCTTGTTTTCCAAAGACCGTCAAATCCAACAAGATTCTTCCAGGTCTGCAGTCTCTATTGGCAGAGTCAAGATGATTTTAAGCGTGTTACCTGCATCCCTGTATAAACAGACCAATCAAACTGCCCTATGTGCCAACACTTGTCCTTTATTCATAACTCCTTCATATTATTTACTCACTGCGTCAACTCAAATTCCTACCTCGCGAGATAAATGTATAACGTCTTCACACATGAGTCTTGAGCTTGGGCCGTACTCGGGCCCAGTGTGTAGCTCAGCCCTTAATCGGGTCTTTTTTGAACTATAAGTGGGCAGAAAGGGGCTATTGAGTTACTGAAAGTGGCAATGAATGAATGATAAACGTTTATTTAGAGCCTAAAGCATTCTATCTACCTAGAATTTGGAACCATCAGAAACTGAATCTTTTAGGCAGATGATGTGAGGTTGTTTGCTCCCTGATCTCCCCTCTTCTAGCTTCTCATTCTTAGCATCTATCTAGAGACTGACGGATTTTCCTTGTCTACTTCCTCTTGAGTCCTTCTAAATTCCGAGCTCGGAAAGCTCAGTGCTTACCCTGATCCGCCCCCAACCTCTGCCGAGAGCACCCCTGCGCCTTCGCGTACCTATAGACCGGTATTACCGAGCCGGCAGATATGAGGGAGTCATCTGACGATTTAGAAATAATTTTCCACCAATTGTACACATTTTTGAATCGGAAAGAAATGCGAATGGGTTTGGATGTGATTTTGATCTGTATTGAGCTCATAACTCGTGTTATTGCTTCCCCGCTGCCTCAGTGTAGATCCAAGTATATAGCTCAACATCAAGCTGGAACATGTAGACATTATTTTTTTCTAACTCGACAGTGCTGCGTACTCCAAATATCTTCATTAATCCAATCCCTGTGTCTAGAATATTCGACCATGGGCGAAATAGTCTCGCAGAAAAAGCGTTATGCGCTGATCGGCACCGGTGGAAGATCGGCGCTGTTCTACACGAGCATTGCAAAGGATTTTAAGAATACCAGCACCCTCGTCGCAATCTGTGATACCAATCAGACTCGACTCAACTATGCAAAAGCCAAAATTGAGGCCTTGGGCCATGAACCAGTCCCAACATATCTCGCTGCCGATTTCGATCTCATGATCAAGGAAACCAAGCCGGATGAGGTTATTGTCACCACTATCGACCGTACCCACCACACCTACATAGTCCGTGCCTTGGAGCTGGGCTGTAATGTCATCACCGAAAAGCCAATGACTATCGATGTACCGCAATGCAACGAGATCCTTTCAGCTGTCGATCATACCAATAAGAGGGTCAGGGTCACCTTCAATTACCGCTACGCGCCGCATAACACGAAAATCTTTGAAGTCATTCGATCCGGTGCGATCGGCACCGTTACAAGCATTCACTTTGAGTGGATGCTTAACACGTCTCACGGCGCAGACTACTTCCGACGTTGGCACCGTGATGCTCGGAACAGCGGCGGCCTTTTGGTTCATAAATCAACCCACCATTTCGATTTGATCAACTTCTGGCTACAATCTCGACCAAAGACAGTATACGCACAGGGAGATCTCAAGTTCTACGGGAAGAAGAACGCCGAGGAGCGGGGTGTGACCGAGTTCTACTCGAGGGCTCATGGGAGCGAGGCTGCCAAGAATGATCCCTTTGCATTGCATCTGGACGAAAACCCTCAGTTAAAGTCCCTCTATCTGGACGCCGAGCATGAAGATGGTTACTTCCGTGATCAAAGTGTGTTTGGCGATGGAATCAGCATTGAAGACACGATGAACGTGCTTGTTCGATACGAGAACAGCGCAGTCTTGACATACTCTCTCACTGCGTATGCCCCCTGGGAGGGCTTCCGTGTCAGCTTCAATGGAACAGGCGGTAGACTGGAGGCGGAGATTGTCGAAAGTAGCTATGTCAACTCTGGCGGCGAGCAATCGCTGGAAGGCGCCGCTGAAAGTATAACACTCCTTCTGCGACCTCTGTTCCAAGAGCCGCGCAAGATTGAGATTGTGCAAGGTGCAGGTGGGCATGGGGGAGGTGATAATGTGCTACTTCGGGATCTTTTCGGAGAAGATGAGCCTGATGAGTACATGAGAGCTGCTAGTCATATTGATGGCGCGGCTTCTATTCTGACCGGTGTCGCGGCTAATCGCTCGATCCGTACTGGACAGGTGGTGAACGTCAAAGATATTCTTGACCTCCCTTGAAGAATGTCGGCTTTCTAGATTGATTAGTGGCTTCATAGAGACGGTTATTTTTGCAATACACATACTTGGATAGTATTTTGTTCATGAGCGATTGGCAAGACAACCAACCTTGTAGAATAATTTTGGCTAATGTACTTATTCCTTTACCGATCTGAACACTCATGCTCGAAAGACTTTGTTCTTACCACATGAGTCCATTGAGTCTCTCATCTCATAGCGGCATATTAGCCCCGATTCCCTTTCAAATGAGCCTGATACCGTTACTGCCAAGTGCCCACGTACTTTGCAAATGTCTACATCTGACAAGCAAACTACGGCTAAACCGGGTTAAATGGGGGTAAAGGGGAAGTCTTACCGCAAAGATTGGCCACCCGATCTACCGATATAACCTCAGAATGCGGGGAAGTATACGGGGAAGTATACGGGGAAGTATACGGGGAAGCAAGGATGTTGATGTGCCCTTCGGGTCAATTAGTAGCGACGACTTCGCTTGTGCACTTCCCCGCAATATCAGCCCAGTAGTTAAGCCTCCAAATGAGCAATTGGACATCTCGGTTCGTATTTGCTCTAGTTCATGTTTTAGCTGCCCTTGATAGGTGCAAAAACTGAATTGGACGCCACAATGCTACCAGGCCGTGGGAATATAGACCTATCTTATTGATTATGCCTTGGCCGACATTTGCTCTATATACTAGTGTTAGAGCGATGACGAACCATTAGGAAGAGAAAAGAAAGATAAGAGACTTTGCATTCCTTGCATGGAATACTTATCCAAGTTGGACTTGGAGTACCCTTCAACCCCTTGCTATATTTCCCGCCATGGCCGTCCAAGCGAATGACGAGATCTCAACAGTTCAGGAGCAGGAACAGGAGCAGCGTCATGAACGAGCTACACGTTCAAAGGCAGTTGAATTTTTGACTAGCCATGCGACTGAGACTGAGTTCACCTATGAAGAGGAGAAAGCCGTTCTCCGTCGTATCGACAAGCGAGTCCTTGTGCTTGTTCTGTGGGCGTATTTCTTCCAACAGCTTGATAAAAGTTCCTTGAGGTAAATATGATTGTTTATGCTACAACATCCCCGGATCCAACGTTGTCTTAATGCTCATCATACTAATCTGCCATTAGTTATGTCTCTATTTTCGGAATACAAGAAGATGCTCATCTAGTCGGCCGACAATATTCCTGGCTTGGGTCTATTCTCTACCTTGCACAATTGATAATGCAACCTCTCGTGGCCCTAATTCTAGTGAAACTCCCCACCGGAAAAGTCCTCGCCAGTGCCATTTTTCTCTGGGGCTCAGCACTTACCATAATGGCCGCTTGCACTGACTTTCCCTCGCTTCTCGGAATGCGCTTCGTCCTTGGCTCATTCGAGTCCTGCATTGCACCATGCTGTGTTGCTATCACACAGATGTGGTGGCGTCGAAGTGAACAGACTTTGCGTGTCAGCTACTGGAATGCAATGAATGGTCTGACCTCCATCATTGGTAGTCTTCTCACCTACGGCCTTGGACATATCCACAGCAAGACTTTATATCGGTACCAGACGATCTTCATGTTCTGTGGTCTTTTGACGGTGGTTTACTCTCTTCTCGTTTTCTGGTTAATGCCTGATTCCCCGATGGAAGCTAAATGTTTGAGTGAGCGGGAGAAACTCATTGCTACAGAGAGACTGCGTGCCAACCAGATGGGTATCTCTAACCAGGAATGGCGATGGGATCATGCTCGAGAGGTCCTACTTGACCTTAAGACTTGGTGCTGGTTCTTTTCGATTATAACTATCTCGTAAGTGTTTCACTTTTGGCAAATTACACGCGAAGAAAAGAAAGAATTTGAACTAACAAGAGATTGGTGATAGTATTGCAAGCGGAGGCATCTCGAGCTTCGGTTCCCTGATTGTCAAGTCATTCGGATTTGACAGCTTCCAGACAATCTTATTTAATATCCCCTTCGGAGTCATTCAGATTCTGGCCATCTTAATCACCGGATGGCTGGCCACATGGACCCAACGTAAGGGTCTTGTTATAGCTGGAGCCAGCGTACTGCCGAGCGTCGGAGCCATCATGATGCTTACTGTCCCACGACACAACAAGGGAGTCCTACTCTTCGGTTACTACTTGGTATGCTCCTAACATAGTGATTGATAAAATTTGCAACTAATGTTTTCCCAGGTCTCTACAATGGCATCCATCACCCCACTGATCTATGCCTGGCAAGCACAGAATACTGCAGGTGACACTAAGAAAAAGTGTACTTCTGGTATAGTATTCATCGGAATGTGCGCTGGCAATGTTATTGGACCGCTTCTTTACTCTACTGAGGAGGCACCGCTATACCGAACGGGCCTTATATCCAACCTTGCTATGTTTGTCACTGTTGGGACTATCGCTGGGTATGTAGTATACTCTAACTTGACTGTGGTTTATTTGACTAACTTGAGTAGCCTCACACCTTTCTATCTCATGTATCTGAACAAGAAGCACGAGAAGCGACGCGTGGAACTCGGGAAAGTAGGCCCCATGGCTGATATGTCTATGCTGGACAAGGATCAGCGGAAAGAGACCAAGGTCATGGAGCTGGAGGATGTCCGAGATCAAAAGGTCTCGGTGGAAGAAGACAATGGTTTGCAGGACGTGACTGACCTGAAGAACGAAGACTTTGTCTACGTTTATTAGCTCCTGCAGAGCTGAACTTATACTAAAGATTGTTTGCTCGGTATCAACACATCTTATACCAGACGTTCATGACAATAATCATTCTGTTTTGACGGTTTCCCCTGGTCCCAGCCGACTGCCTAGCATACAACGCAAGTAAATTATAAAGATGAGGTAGACGAGTAGCAGAGAGTGAAACACACATGGTATCGAAATAAATATCTATGCTATTTTTTTGACTTAGTCGAAGCCCTTGAACTCAGCACCGCCCTTTGCTTCCTCCTCCTTGGCAGCTAGGTTCAACAACCGCTGCTGCTCGTTCTTAGCACGAATCTCTTCCAGCATACGCTCGGTTTCAAGAGCCTTCTGCTTCTCCTCCTCTGGCAATTGCGCCCATCTCTCCTTCTCCTTCCGCGCCTTGTTGAACTCCTTCTTCTTGAACTTCTTATCCCGCTCTTCGGTCTTCTGACTCCAAGCCACACTCTCCGTAGCACGGCGCTTAGTACCCTGCTCAGCACCTTGTCCATTAGCAGCCTCCTCCAGAGCCTCCTTGCGGCGCTTTTCTTGCTGCTTGTCCTTGTACGAGTAGGTGTGCCATTCAAGTTTAATGCCCAACGTCCGATCTCCCTCAAAGGAACGCGCTTCAGGCATCTTCGGCAGCTTGAGGAGACCCCATGCCTTGCCGAGAGCTTCCCAGTCCAGATCTCCAACTCGGAAAATACTGCTCGCTTGGTGCTTGCTGTAGCTGCGCAGCCAGCTGACGAATGCCTTCTGGCCTTTGTCGTGCATCGCGCGGTCTTTCAACACGGCTTTGCGGACTTTGTCTATCGAGGCCATGGCCTGCTCGTCGGTGAACTCGGGGAGGCTATATGGCGCGACGGGGGTTTTGCGGATCTCCAGGAACGATACGTAGTCCTCCTCACGGCCGGGATGGATGAGGACGATGCTGAGGCCTCGGCGGCCGGCGCGACCGGCACGACCGCATCTGTGGATGAAAGTTTTGGGGTCGGAGGGTGGGTCGATCTGGACCACTAGATCGACAGAGGGGATATCTAGACCTCGAGCGGCGACATCGGTGGTGAGGAGGATGGAAGGGGTTGTGGAGGTGGTGAAGCGGTTGAAGTTCTTTTGGCGGACGTTGGCTTGGTGTTTACCGTGTAGTGGGACCAGCACGAACTCGTCTCCTAGGATTATGGGTAGTATTGTGGCGAGATAGTCGACACTGGAGCATGTCGATACGAAGAAAATGGTTTTTTGAGGTGTGGGCTGGACCGTGGAAAGGATGTGCTTCAGAATAGCATATTTGTGAAGCGGAGGTGTTGTCATGTAGGTCATTTGCAGACTGTTCAGCGGTTAGATTGGTCATTTTGAATTCGGAAAACGAATCGAAAGACATACCTTGCTGGAGTGCGCTTTTCTTCGACGCCAGCTCCTCCTCTGACCTTGACAGCAATTTTGACGGGATTTCGGAGACCAAGTCGGACAATCTGATCAACAGCCTCACTGATACTGGCACTGAACAATCCTGTCCGTCGCTGCTTAGGCAGTCGGCCCAAGATTTTCTGCAGGTCGTCCTTGAATCCAAGATCCAGAAGTCTATCGGCTTCATCCAAGACAAGCATTTCAAAAGATGCCTGAGGGCAGTGAACGTGAGGCGACGAAAGCAGCTCCAACAATCTTCCGGGTGTGGAAACCAATACATTTGGCGAATTCTTGAGGAATAACTTCAGGTCTTCTGCCGGAGATGTCCCGCCGCCCAGGAGAAGTTGTGGGACGACCCTCAATGTCGACGAGGAGGTTTTCGCACGAGGAGCGCCATCTTCGGCAGGTTTGATCGCTGCGGCCGACGCTGGGTGGAACTCCAAAAGGGAGACAAGGACTTGGTGGATTTGCACGGCCAATTCTCTGAGATATCAATATTAGCAATGAACTCTGCACACCTGTATTTGCGCATTACCCACCTTGTCGGAGAAATGACAATGGCTCCAACATGATGCTTCTTGAGAGGCTGATCAAGACGAAGAAGCTTTTCCACAATTGGAACCAAGAATGACAATGTCTTTCCACTTCCAGTGACAGCTTCCACCACCACATCTTTATGTTGCATAAACAGAGGAATGGCCGAGGCCTGCACTGGAGTCATGCGCGTGAAGCCCATTGCGCCCACAGCGTCGAGGGTCCATTCTGACAGTGGGGGCGTGAGAGCATCCCACGCTCTTGAAGACGATTTGGGAGGCATTTATTAATTCTGACAGACACCGAGTCGTCAAATTGCTTCACGAGTCGCCATCGCAAAGAAAAAAAAATATCCGTTATCGATTAGATACCGCACACGTGACTGCGGCTGTGGTCGGAAACCGAGGCGCTCTGCTTTTTCCCCTTTGACTCAGCTTTGCTTCATTTTACTTACTTTTATTTAATATAACAAGTGCTTGGGTGCTCGCATGATGTACCGGGCTCTTGTCTTGTGCCTCCAGCTTGTTCGTCCATAATTGACCAAAGGACACTGTCACGTGCTTACAACCCGCCTATCATTGCTTTGTTAGCAAGCCCATTTTAAACTCCGTGGCATATTCGCTTGTGACAACGCAGATATTTGTACGCGGACACCTTTGGCTTCGTCCGAGCCGCATCGCTTCCTTCTTTTAAATTGAGGGCCTCCGACATGTCCTCGCCAAACCCCGTACCGGAGACACCTCGCGTGATATCACCGACTCCCTCTGTATCGGACCGGTCCGAGACCCCCGATGGATATTACGCACCCGTAACTCGGTCTGCAGCGCGTCGCCAGCGCCAGCCAGAAGATTCAGCCGAAACTTCTGGCTCAGCCCGAACATCAAGATCCCCGACGACGCCCTCGGCCCGGCGCAACCGCCGATCAAACCCTATGATACCCGCCTCGCCGCCGCGCTCAGCAAACGGTACTGCTTCGAGCAATCATCTATCCCCGTTAAGCATTCCAGATGCCCTACGTGATTTGTCGAGATCGCCATCTCCTCTCGGATTAATTCCCCTCCACGCACGCTACCGCAGCTTCATTCACCGCCATGAGATCCCGCGCAAGGTCTTGCACGTGTCAATCGGATTTTTGACTTTGTCATTATATAGCCGAGGCGTGCAATCTTCGCAGATTACACCGGTGCTCTTTACGGCACTAGTGCCAATTGCAGCCACGGATCTGATCCGCCACCGCTTCGAGAAGGTCAACAAGGTATACATTCGGTGTATGGGTGCCCTCATGCGCGAAACCGAAGTCACCGGCTACAATGGCGTGATCTGGTATCTCCTTGGAGCGTATGTTGCTCTCCGCTTCTTTCCCAAGGACGTTGGTGTCATGAGCGTGCTACTCCTTAGCTGGTGTGACACCGCCGCCTCGACATTCGGTCGTTTGTACGGGCGCCATACCCCCCGTCTGCGTCCCGGAAAGAGCTTGGCTGGTACTATGGCGGCTTGGCTCATGGGTGTTGTCACTGCCGCTGCTTTCTGGGGCTGGTTCGTGCCTTACATTGGCACTTTCCCCACTGACCCAGAAAACTCCTTTATGTTCACCGGACGCTTGAATCTGTTCCCGAACTGTATTCGCGGCCTTCTGGGCTGGGAGCCTAGTGACTCGGCGGTCATCACTGGTCCTCTGGCTCTCGGCGTCATGAGCGTCGTCTCTGGCGTTGTTGCCGCCGGTAGCGAGTTCATTGACATGTGGGGTTGGGATGATAACCTGACGATCCCCGTGTTGAGTGGAGTTGGCCTGTGGGGTTTCCTCAAGGTCTTTGGCTAGATGGATAAATTATATACTCCTGATTGATCGGCGCTTGCACAATATTCCCTTCTTGTTTTCTAATACTATATATAGGCGTCTGACGTTTAATATTTTTGGACATGTTTCTCTTGTACTTCTCTACTTTCTGGGATTGTGCTGCATCAAGAATTGGGTTCTTGTTTAGATAGGGACTGGCTGAAACCATGCCCATTTTTATACTTCTCTCTTTTCTTCAATACATACTCTTTGAATGTGTGTCCTGCGTGGTTACATTTTTCGGATATACATATGTACGCACCTTGTTTTTTTATTTACGATGCCTGCAACATAACGGATTTCATAAGCAAGTGGTCCTCCATGGTGTGAAGTTCAATGTATATTTCTGGAAGGCTTTGGCCTCAGACTTCCTAAGCCTATAGTCAAATTAGATAAGGCAATCTCACCCTTTGCTAACTATGTCCAAATCTACGTGGATAAGTCCAATTGGCCCGACAAAAGAAAAGTGGCTTAGACCACAGAGGGGCGGAAATGATAGGTCGGTTGCTGACTGGTATTACCTACATTCTGAGATGCAGGTATAGGTGTCCGACGCCGCCTCGTTGACAAGAGCAGCCAGGAGAAGGCTGAGCTTGAGTCATTTAAAGCAAAGGTGACTGGCTTGCTCTTTGACTTTGTTCCCCATTTTTGCAGCTTCTCTTGTATCATCATTTCAAAAGTTGATCGAAAGTGATCTAGTGCCATGGACCCAGTTTCCCTTACCGGAACTGCTGTCGGTATTGTTTCGCTGGGCTTAACCGTCTGTCAAAGTCTTGTGTATTACTACAGCGCCTTCCGTGGATACTCCGAAGACACACAAAATGCGCTCAAGAAGCTTCAGAATCTAAAAGATATCCTTACAGTACTTGAAGATGTATTGCAAAGCCATGACATCCTGCAAACAGAAACGGCCGCGACCAGGGCAGCTAAGCAGAATATTATGGCCTGCAAAGGTGGCCTGGAACAATTGAAAAGGCTAATGGACAAGTGCAAGGCGATGCCGGGCGAGCAGAAACGGGACTATATCAACAGAGCATTGTATCCCTTTCGGCGTGACACGATCAAGTCGCTCCTCCAGCATGTGGAGAGTCTTCAATCAAACCTGGGCACATCGATGGATATTTTACAATTGTATGTTTGACCTTATAATCAGTTTACAGAGTTCGGCTTCTAAGAAGTGACCAGATCTGTCGTCTCCCAGAACTCAGAAGGACAGGACTATTGTGCATCACTACAGAGCAGACTTTGACAGAGTCGACAAGAATTCATAGTCACGTCAAAAGCATCGATCAGGCCCAGCAGGATATCAGTTTCAGAATTTCTGGCATTGACCAACGTCTAACAGATATGCTAGGACTTCCATGATCGCGTGATATAATGTCTGTGCTGAATGGAAGAATCTAGTATTCCTACCTGAACCGACAAAACGGACCAATGCTCGAGTCTACTGCACTGGAGTCGCTATGTGATAGCCGTGAAGCCTGCAACGACAGTGCGTCTTTTGATACCCAAGTGATACCGATCAGTCACAGAAAGCGAAAGAAATGCTCTTGTTCATCATTGCTCGCCTCTTCTAGGACAAAGAAAGGATTTTTCGAATCACTTTGGTGCTCTTCCCATAGTTTTGGATGCTCACTTTATCTTGAGGAAGAGAAAGTTATTTTTGGAAGGAAATTGGATTTCTGCAACAGATTCATTGGCATTTCGGTTTATGCTGGTCTAAAGAGCGTCCGAGGGGCCGGAGGATACACGATTTCCCCGTCCCTAAGCTTCCGTCCAATTGTCGATGAATCGCCTGCCCTTCAGCTTGCGGTGGAAGCGCGCTGGAGACTAGAAGAAAGCGCACCACCAGACTTTGTCGGGACTTTCGTGAGCCAACTACGATCAGTGTACCAGGAAGGAAAAGCTTCACCTAGGGATATTAGCTATCATAGTAGAGGAACTGTTCTCCATGTAAGTAGGAAAATTTGGAACAGGATGAAACAAGTTCATGGTTCTGACAAACACAATAGAAAGTAATAAGATGGATTTGGCATGTCCCTGAGTGGATGATGGAAGATTACCGCGGTCTCATCAGAAATCTTGTTGAATTTGGCGTCCCATTGAATGAGCAGAGCTATGCTGGAAGTGCATTGGACACTCTCCTTACTGAAGGGAGCTCTCGCTTCCACACTGGATCGAAACTTTTTCAAGATCAAATGTTGTTCATATTCTCCGACCTCGTGGGTTACGGTGCACATTTAACGCAAGATCTTAGCAAGAGCTCCAATGTTTTCCGCTTCTGGATTTCTAGCATCGGGCAAACCAAGTCGGTGATCTTCTCTAACAAGTACCTCTACGCCGTTGCGAGACGAGAAACATGTATACGTATACTTTCTCGGGAATTACACTTCTCGCTACCATTTTGAAGTAAAAGAAATAAGAGCAAACACTAATTATGCCTAAAGATTTAGGATTTCACTGGTCCGATTTAGAGAGATCCCTCATATCGAGATCAGAAAGACATTTCCATGAAATTATGTTAATGGCAACAACTAGGGAAACTCCCGCAAAATATAATCATCTTGCGAAGTTATCCATCGGGTGGCCCCCTGGACTTCGCATTATCTTGAACACTGGCTGCCATCTGCATACAACGGCCCTTTTAGACCGTGCTATCGGATCTGGCTGTCGCGAATCAATTTCGTTGCTATTGGACGATACCAATTTAGCGATAGATTTGAATCACGTCCAGCTTGCATACTATTGTGCTGGTTATGAAATTTTTGAATTGGTCGTGCGTGCTTTGGTCGAGAGGAGAAGGAATCTTCAGACATTGGCTGAGCGACATTTACCAGTTCACATACGGGACCAACTAAATTTACCAACCCATGGTGTGCTGGACTTTCATGCCGCACAAGTTTACTCCAAGCTACAACTGTTTGGTATACAAATGGATCCATGTTTGAAAGTTTCCTGGAATTTTTCTACAGTTTACAATCGTATTGATTGCGATTACCATGCCGCAAAAACCCTTTTCAATGCAGGTTTTTGCAATTTTGAGAAAGAAGAAGAAGAAGAAGAAGAAGAAGGAGAGGAGGAAAACAAAGGATTAACTACCCTGATGCGGGTTGCCAGGTCGAGTCAATATATTGGTCGCGCTAGGCTCAACAAAGTGCTACACACAATAGGATTCCTGATTTCTAAGGGTGCCGACGCTAACAGAACTCGACGTGAAGATGGTCGCACAGCACTGCACTTCCTTGGATCTAGCATTTCAATGATCCTTAAGGCTCAAGTTCAAGATCTAGCAATGCCACCTCATTCGATGGGGACCACCAGTATGTCACCAGGCATCCGGGAAAAGGAAAATTTCGAGATAAAATGGCCTCAATTGAATGATAACGGATGGGACCTTTTGGAGACTCTCTTCATGGATCGTCACTGTGATTCGTGTTCGTGCGCATGCTCATCGCATGGATGCCTTCCATGTACAGGGATTTTTGGGGAACTAGTAACATGGGAAGACTCGCCACCCAATGTTCAAGCTATGGCTGAATTAATCCGTACCTTCAGTGATCGGAGGGGTCCTGGATCAGTGAAAACATGTCACGATACACTGGCCCCAACTGTCCTTCGAGTTTGCATCTTTGGATATTTGGAGCTAACCCACACATGCTGCAAGAGAACCGGTGGTTGGGAGAATACCGTCCAACGTGCGGAAATGCTAGATGATTTTTCACATATCCGGGACGAACAGCGACTACTGATCAAGGAACTTGAGAAGCTAACTGCTTTCTTCATGTCGAAGTATCATGAGATGGGACTGGGATTACCGGAGTTTTTGCTTGAATACTGGTCAGTCGAGATCAGAAAAGTCTCTAAGCCAGACCCTGAGGAAATTGAGAGGATCAAGAGTATTGGTGTTGTATTGGATGAATGATATTGTAGATGGACATATGTACATGATAGCCAGCAATCCACGAGACATCAGCTTACTTGACTCCTGACAGAAGGTATTCAACATTCTTATCCAACGCCGTAGGATAATGAAACATGATGTTTCATCACACATGCTTGTACCCAAAAACCCCAGACCCGGGAAAAATCAAATCGATGCCAAACGCCAGTCCGCCAAAACGAGAAGAGGGGTATATAAAAAACATTAATCAACGAGGTCAAGAATGCTGACGCGTGGGATTCTTTTCTTCTTGGCAGCTTGAGTCTGGCTGCGCGCTCTTCCCCGGCCATCAGCAGCTGAGGCTTCGCACGGATCTTGTTCAGGCGGAGATTGGTCGATCGACCAAAAGCCGTCGTGCAATACAACGTTTTCCAAGTGCCCTGTGGTTTTGTGCTTCGAAACTGCGCTCGCAGTATCCTTTGAAGGCTTCTTGGGAGACTTATTCACGTCGTTGGTCTCGTTGTTTTCACATGTTTTTAAGCTCAATGGCAGGGTATGCTCCGGCTCGAGATTGGGCTTGGGGTTTGCTTGACTGCAAGCACGGGGTGGTTCGACATCTTCGATTTTGGAGGAACGAGTCTGAATTTTTCTTGCTTGCGGTGCTTTCTTCGTGCAGGGTTGACGCAATGAGCGAGTTACAGTCTTTTCACACTGACCCTCGTCGATTCTCGACGACAGAGAAAGGGACTTGATGGCTTTTTCGACGTGTTCAACCTCGGCCTTTTCCTCACACTGCACCTTGGTGGTTTTCGATACAGTCTTCCTGGACGCAGAGGGCAGTGCCGTCAGTGCTCTGACTGGAAAGTCTCCCAGGAAAGTCTCAGAATCACAAACGTCAGAGACCGAGTAGCTGACTTTGAGCCCCATGCGCCGTGCTGGTCGAGACGGAGAATAACCAGTGTTCATGTCCAGTGTGTCCGATTCTTCAACATCAACCCGACCACTCCCCAAAGCTGTGCGCCGTGATCTAATGCGGGACTGATCCAACACGGGGTGACGCTTCATATCGGCAGAAGGAGACAAGTTACACATCGAAGAGAATGAATCAAGGATAGCATCGGCCTCCCGAGAAGCGTAGTGCATCGTCAGTGAAGACCTCTGTTGAATATACATGCTCGGAGAGGAGAAAGGGTCGTCTTCCTGGTCCAAAATTATTGGCGAAGAGGACCCGGAACCGCCAACAAGCCGGGAAAGAGGATTCTGGGTCGATCTAGCTGCTTCCAACAAGTGCGCTTGTTTGGTTGTTGACAATTCGGACTTTTCTTTCGTGAGAGTTCCGTACTTCAAGATACTCCCCCGTTTCATTCCAGCATCAATTGGTCCCTTTTTCTTGGGACCGGTGCGTCGAGTACTGGTCTTCTTTTTCGCCGCAGCTTCTTCGGCTTTCGCAGCTTTTTCAGTTTGCTCCTTCTCCCAATTTTTGACGACTCCTGGAATACCTAATTTTGCGACAGTTTCAAATACCCAGACCTTTTCGAGCGAAAACGGATCAAATTGTTTTGTAACCCGAGACTTCGATGGTGTCGGAGGTGGCGATCCAGCAGCTACCTCGGGGTCGTCCTCTTCCTCCCCCTCCTGCACACTAGTCTGGGATGGAAGCGGTGGGTTTGGTTCCTCAGCAAGGAGATCCAGCCCAACAACATCTGCGGGCAGCATATCTAGCTGGACTTCTGGCACTGCATCAGTGCCAAAGCTTGACCGGCATCGATACACCTTTTGCAGACCAGGTGGGCAGTCGGGCACAAATGAAAAACCAGGTGACACGCCTAGAACTGGTCTCTGGAGACGGAGTCTGTACGAGATAAGAGGCTCAGCTAGTAGTCTGATCAATTTCCTTGCCCCCGATCGATAATTCCATTCAAAGTGGTCTGCAGCAAATGTTCGGATTGCCAGGGGATCGATATCATTATCCCAAGCCTGTGCGAGGCGATTTCTCAGGAAGGTCATTTCCTCATCGCTGGAAACTTTGGGCTGGGCATAGTATTCGAGAATTTGTCGGTCCGGAAAAGCGGCTGGAATTCGAACTGCTGGGTGTTTTCTCGTAAAATACCCACTCTCGTTCTCCTCAAGTTCATACTGGAGTCTTTCTCTCCACTCGTTCAATCCTGTATCCACGTCTGCTTGCGATGCAAGCTCCTGCAGAAGATCCTCGCCGAATCCAGCCTTGGCAATTTCTGCAGCAAGCTTACTGCCACATTTCGGAACACCAGATGGTAGATAGTCACCTCCACTGAGCATAGCGAATAGAATCATTCCCGGTCGGTCAAGGGGTATGTTTGATGGGTGCCCATCCTGTCCCATTGAATAGCATGTGACATGAGTTGCAGAAGAGCTGCCGCTTCCGCTCTCTTTTGAAAAATTCATAATGGTAAAAGACGATCCGAACATCAATGCGTCGACATCGTTGCTCATGACAGCGTCTACAATGCCTGCCTGCTGTAATCGTGCACATTCGGCTTCTGCCTCGCCCGGTGCCTCATGCCACGGAAACCTGAATCGCTCAATGAGGTCCTTGGAGCGCTTGATGATCGGCGCACTGCCATAACTGCGTGTTGATACTGCTTTGCCTCTCTTGAAAGCAGGTTTTTGCCGTCCATCATAAACGAAAAGTGGGTGAACTGGCAATGCAAGTAATTTCAATAATCGATAAAATAGTGTGCGTAGCTCTGGGTTTCTTCCACCTCGACCTGCTTGGACTTGAAAGAGCCAGATCGAAATGTCGACTGCAATGCGGATCGGCCTTGCTGTCCGCTCCAGGTGCGTCACCGCCAACTTGGCCAGAGAGATGCGCTCTCCTGGGCCAATTGCACTGATGAGCCTTCAGATAGTTAGTATTTTGATCGAGAATTCTGAGGATATGCAGTTCTGCTTGTTGTGCGATGGGTAAACACCGCATTCACTCAATGTTTATACGAATATATATGTTTCGAACATTGTCAAAAAAAAAAAAAAAGATCTCACTTACCCAGGAATACCCATGCCGACTGTAAGCAGGAAAATCAAAGAATAGTTAAAGGGCCCATGTGGAGTTAAAGATGTACTTGTATTGGTTTTTGCGGAGTTGTGAGGTTGTCAAGTAAATAAAGACGGCCCGATGTAGATCCGTTGCCTAACAACGAGCTTCACCCCCAACCTGGGCAAGCTTATAGATCTCACTTTTCTTTTTTATTGAATTTAATCCGATGGCGTTGAAACTCTAACCTATGCGTCGGTGAATTGGATCCTTGTCGCTACAAACCCCGCGGACTCCTATTGCTCTCAGAAAGGAGAGCAACGCGCCCGAGCCCAATTAAGCATGGCGAGCGATACATCCTCAATGGGTGCCAGTAAACGCGCATCAGCAACTTCTGGTCTGCGAAATAGCCAAACAGCACGACCTGTCTCCCCTCATACACCTCAGCCACGTTCGGGAAACCCCTCATTCGCCGGCAGCACATCACCGAGCTCCTCCTTTCGAAGCGAGGACGATGCGATCATATTTGAGATAGGTGCACGATGGCTCCGCGCAGGCTTTGAAGGGAACAGCACACCCATGTGTGTCGTTGGATTTGGACCGGAAGACTCGAGGAGAGCGGGGGACTATCGAGGATGGATCCAGGCCAGCACCGGTGCTGCACGGCTACCGCAACCCGTCGATATGGAAGAGTGGACAAGGGCATATGAATTGTGGCGGCCAGATTCTCGAGAGGTTGATCTGGGCCTAGTCGAGGATAAGATCGAGCGCGCGTTTCGGGAGACATACAACCAGTTCCTGTTGACGGATGCAGGCACATCTCGCCTGGTTCTTGTCCTGCCGTCTCTCATGCCACATCCATTGCTGTCGTCACTGTTGTCCACGCTCTTCAGTCGTTGGCGCTTCCCGAGTGCTACTCTTCTGTCCAGTGCGACCATGTCGGCCACTGCTGCGGGATTGCGATCAGCTTTGGTGGTTGACATTGGCTGGGCCGAGACCACGGCAACGGCGATCTACGAATACCGAGAGATGACTACGAAGAGAACGACACGGTCTATGAAGCATTTGATGCAGGAAATGGGGCTGCTTCTTACTGAGTTGGGTTCCGACGGGAACCAGGATATGGAGACTACGGATAAGATCTCTGTTGGATTCGCGTACTGTGAAGAAGTTGTCAGTCGGTTTGCCTGGTGCAGACCGCAGACAGAAGAAGATATAAGCTCAGATGAACCCGACCGGGAATTGTCGATACCGTCGCCCGCAAACCCCGAGGAAGAATATATGGATGTACCGTTTTCACGCCTCGCCGAACCTGTCGAGAAGGTCTTATTTGCACCAGGTGTCCCAGAACATGAATTGGACGACGAAGAAAAATCATTGCCTTTGCTTGTCTACAACACCCTTCTCTCGCTGTACCCCGATGCACGAGGAACATGCATGTCCCGCATTGTGTTTGTGGGCGGCGGTTCTCGGATTCCTGGACTGCGGCAGCGGGTCCTGAAAGAAGTCTCACTCTTGGTTACTCGTCATGGATGGAGTCCAATTCGAGGCAAAGCACTTGAGCGACAGCGACAGAGATTGGAACAGCTGAGACTCTCAGCCCGAAAAGCTTCCACAGAACCCGAAACCCCCAAGAATAACGAGGAAGCACCATCCACTGATGAAACACCAGCCGACCCTTCGAAGGAAGTGCCTGAGATCGATTTTGTGGAACAAAAGCTCCGCCGACAAAACAAAGATATCCCAGTTCCTATCCAAGGAGTGTTGCGCGAAGTTGAATCTCTTGGTCCATGGGCGGGTGCAAGCCTGACAACTAGTCTGAAGATCCGGGGGATGGTAGAGATCGAACGAGAGAAGTTCTTACAGCACGGACTGGCTGGAGCTACACGCGACATTGATCCTCCTGTTCCTGATCGTCGATCGGGCTTGAAATCTGGTGATCGATCGAGTTGGACGCTTGCAGGCTGGGCATGAAAAAACTATGTAAATTTTTCAAAAACAATAGATACCCCATTGGATTTTCAATTCCCCAAATTTTCTACTATTTTCATCTACAATTTCTTTATGGAGCATCCCAAAAAGGATAGCCGTCGGTTCGGCTATACCCCGGCTTTCGCGGGGAAGATGCCGATGTGATGCAGATTGTCATTTTTCTACTTGGAACCTTCGAATGCATGAAACTGACAGAGCAAAAATGAACGACTTTAGTCCTCCACCATTAAGAGCACCTACAGCATGTGTTGCCTGCAATAAAAAGAAGGTACGAGAAGTGGAATAACTTAGAACTGAAGACAGACTGACCTCTTTAGGTTCGCTGTATCTTCGACGGAAATCCTGATGTATGTGTGAACTGTCAACGGCATCAGTGGCCCTGTTCGTAAGAAAAATGATTCCTGACGCTGAAGTAAAACATACTAACTGCCGCGCAGTCGACGGGAGCGCAAGAGAAAAAGAGCTCATAGTAATGATGGTGACTGCCTCAATGATACCGAAACGGTTAGAAGGAGACGAGTGAGCTGGGACGAGCCGAACAGCTTTGGTCCTATCGGCTCAGCCAGATCCCCATGTCCAAGCTCTGAGTATGAACAGGATCGGAATCAGTGCCGCGACACAAGTCAAGATAGAGCTGGTACTGGAGAAATTATTACACCAGAGTCCAATCCATACTCATCGGCGTCGACTTTGAGCTTCATGGCACGCTCCCGCTACTTTGACGATGCGGTGTCAATCAACGAAGAACAGGCCAGATCATATCCAGAAGGAGACGCAGATGGGCCAACTGAAGATGACATCCAGCTCCTTAGACTGCAAGGTGCATTCGACCTCCCACCACGAGCTATCCGAGAGGGATTGATTAACACATTCATGGAAAGATGTTCACCATGGATGCCAATAATCGAGCGGAGCTTGCTAGAAGAAAGCGGCTCTCAGAAGCCATCAATACTACTTCTCCAGTCTATTTTCGTCGCTGCGAGCCGAGTCACATCTGCACCGGGTGTGACTGCGTATGCATCTTTGCATCAGTTTTATCGCCGCGCAAAAGCCTTGTTCTGGTCTGGATACGAGAGAAATCCAGTGACCGTCGTCGCAGCAGTGTGCATTTTGCATTGGTATAACCCGGAAGGCCCCGAGCATGTATCCACCAACACTAGTGGATTCTGGCGATATGTGGGAGTTGGGTTAGCTCATCAGATTGGATTGCATAAGGAGCCAACGAATAAAAGAGATGCTGCTCTGAGGCGCAGGCTGTGGTGGACTCTATATGTAAGTCAGGAATGCGCTCTTCGCTAGCACAGAAAAGCACTGACATCAGACAGGCTAGAGATTGTTGTATTTCTGCAGGACAGGGGCGGCCACTAGCAGTGGATCTGGAGGATTGTGAGGTGGCACCGCCTTGTCCCGAGGATTTCCATGATTCAAGCTCAAATGCCACTCTGTTCATCGCATATGTCGAGATCAGTTCTATTCTGGGCCATCTCACCGAGTATTGTCGTCGCAAGACCCTCACACGCGAGGCCCGACAGAACCTCGAGAATCGGTTATATCGATGGACACGCGATCTTCCACCCTCGCTGCGTTTGTTTTGCAGCCGGAGTACCTCAGATGATTCATCATCACCGAAAAGAACACTGGCTCGATACAACTTTGAAGCACGTCAGCTCCACATCCCATACTTTACCTGTCTTGCAATCATGTGTCGACCCAACCCCGGGGAGTCCGCCTCACCAGGAGTGCTTTTAGCATCATCTTTCATCGCCGGGATATATGAAGACTTCCTTGCTCGAGATGAGATCCAATTCCTGAGCCCAGTATTCACATTCCACCTTTTGGCTGCCGGAATCGGGCTTCTCTCCTGCAATAACGTACCATCACACCGGGAGAAGGCAGCAATTAGTTTGGAATCCATTTACCTGGCTCTCGAGGAGCTTGCAAAACGCTGGTCATCTGCGAAAGGCAGTCTAAGAGCCTTGAAGAGCATTGCTGAGAAGCAGCGGAGCATGTCGACAACGGACGAAATGCTGTCGATGGCGCTCTCTAGAGACCACCAACCATTTTTTGAGGGATTTGGTCCAGATCTCTCCTGGGCTTGGTCACATTTCATGGATCTCGGACAAGTTGCGGGGCATGATGGCCGCACAAATAGCTTTATGGTAGCCGGGATCCCAGAGCTAGGAAATTGGGCCGAGTCCCGGGCACCGGATGCTATATCTTCGGATGAGTACAGGCCACTCACTACGATCTTGGACCGCAATGAAGGCCTCGCTATGGGAGATATGTCGCAAGATATTACAGGTGATTTCTTTAATCAATACCAGGGAATGGGGGATTGGCTGTTCAAGGATTTGGAATGGAATGGCGAGATTGCCTAGGAATTTCTCAACTATCTGCTATGTACCCATATACCATTGAATTCTATGCGAGTATATAATATGACAGCTGGCGAATATGTGTAAAGATTCTGGAAATATCATTGGATTTCGGCACTCGGTGAATTTCGGCAACGTAGATTATGGGGATGTGAAAATGCGGGGGATCTACGAACATACATCAGACACATAGTAAACGCTTTAACGCAAGATATCAATATCTAATTCAATCTTTGTACAATTGAAATCATGACAGAAATCCCAACCTTCCATAATCTCTCCCTTGAGAGACATGGGAACGTATTCGTTCTGACCATGCAGAAACCCCCGGAGAACCGGTTGAACTCATCTTATTGCCAGGAGATGATCCGGGCCTATCGCACCGTAGAAAAAATCCTTGGATCCGACTCGGAAGGGGCCGTAATTACGCGAGGCAATGATGCTAAATTCTGGTGCACTGTACATCAAAGTCCCCGAAACAAAACAACATCGGAAGAACTAACAGAATGCTCCCAGGGACTCGAGCTGGACGAATCAGATCACAACCCATTTGCCAATACAGACGGATTCTATCCAGTGAGAACAAATCTCAAGCCAGCCTCAAACAGAGATGCTAGCATGTCATGTATGAGACCACACTAACAACCCATCCAGCTCATCCACACGATCCTTGACTTCCCGTTCCCAACAATCGCCCTCTTAACTGGGCACACTTTTGGCGGCGCATGTCCACTAGCATTGGCACACGACTACCGTGTCATGAACTCCCGCCGCGGCTTTATCTCCATGCCCCCCGTGAACCTGGGTCTGCACTTTGACGGGATTGGCTCGCTGCCTCGTTTGAAACTGCGTCCGCAGATTGCCCGTAAGATGCTGCTTGAGGCGCATAAGTGGACTGGGCCTGAAGCACTGCAGGATGGGATTGTGGATGTTGTTGCCGAGCCGGAGGAGATGCTGAATGTGGCTTTGGAATTGGGGGCGAAGTGGGCGCCGAAAGCGAAGATGGGGTAAGTTTTGATCCGTACAAGAATTTCTGATAGTATATCTGCTAATGCTGTGAAGGGTGTATGCTTTGCTTCGTCAGGAGCTTTGGGGTGATGCTATTAAGAGGTTCCAGCGTATTAGTTATGTTCATAGTCGGATGACTTCGGCGCCTGCTAAGGTGAAGATTTGATAGGGACAATGATATCAAGACATGTAAATATTTAGCTATATTGACAGAAGATCCGTCGAATTTGATATTCTTTCTTTCTATAGCTTGGCCTTATTGTCCCTGTTCCAGACTTGTACCTCAGGCAGCTCTCGATAGTTGGGAGGAAAGAACTGCGGACCCAATATCTTCTTTTGCACCTTTCCCGTACCCGACTTGGGCAACTCACCCTGCACCACACGAAGGATAGTTGGCATCTTATACCCAGCCATTCTACTCCGTAGATCCTCTCGCAGCTCAGCGAGGGTGAGGCTCTTACGTGTTGTCTTTTGATCCTGTTTGAGGCTGACAGTCGCAGCAACTCGTTGACCAAACTCCTCATCTTCAACGCCCACAACCATGACCTCTGAAGCATAGTCCAGACCCAAGATCTCGCGCTCGATATCCAATGCGGAGATCTTGTACCCACCTGACTTGATGATATCGATCGAGGCACGGCCCAGGATAAAATAATATTTTCCTTCGCGGCGAGCAATATCTCCCGTTTTGAAGTACCCCTCGGCATCATGCGCATCCGCCGTTGCTTTCTCGTCAAAGAGATACCTGTTCAGAAGATGTGTCAGGGTTGAACATCTTCACCTCGCGAAAGGTCATTTGACTTACTTGGAAAACATATAAGGGCACTTCACTAATATCTGACCTTCATCGGTAAGCTTGAGCGAGACCGCCTCGGCAACACGACCAACACTGTTTTGTGGTGTTCCATTGGAATCAAGTTCAGTTTTGATGACGGCGCCAAACTCCGTCGCACCATATCGAGTGAGAATTGGCTTGTTCCTAATTTGATGCCAGAACTCCTGCACAGGCCCTGGAAGTGCTGAAGTACCACATAGCATCGCTCTAATCTGACGTGCACCAGCGATATACTGGTCACGTATCTCAGGAGCTTGGTGTGCAATGTTTTCTTCATAGTACCGCATCATACGCATGTATATGGTGGGAACTCCAGAGAAAAAGGTAAGACCTCCCTGTCGCCAGCGCTCCCACGTCCACGCCGTATCGAAGCTGCCACTGCGGAACTCGATACATGCACCGGCCGCGAGGAACGGGAGGAAAGTCAACCCCACACCAGAGGCATGATGCACTGGAAGGACATGGAGGACTATGTCCTTGTCTGTGATTTGGTAAAAGTCTGCGTCGGCCTCTCCGTTTCCGGAGATATAACTGCGACGCTGCACAGCGCCCTTGGGGGTCCTGTTGTGCCAGAAGTGAAGATTACCAGTGCTGCGGCATTCATATCTGGAACTGGGCCGGAGGAAATGGTCGCTTCATCTGCCGGTAGAAGCGTGAGGCGGAAATGAGATCCGATTGGGGATATGCAGGGGATATGCACGCCTTTGCTTTCTCCCATATAGCGAACCACAGACTGGGCGGTCTTTTCACTTGTTGTACTGGTCACCAGAGCCACACATTGCGCTTTCAGTAAGAAGTACGAGGCTTCTTCTGCTGGTAATGCGGCAGCTACTGGTTGTTAGCTATGCGTCTTCTTCTATCAGATTAAAACTTACCCATAGGCACGACTGCTGCACCGATTGCGAGGATTGCGATGAAGCCGACGGCATACTCATACCCTCCCGGTGCAAGTAACCCAATGTATACCTCCTTGTCCGCAATCAAATCACGTCGAGCTTCATGACTGAGTGATCTTTCCAAAATCTTGCGAAAGGCCAACACATCCGAAACAAGATGATGGTATGTCTTTTCCACGCCGGCAACCAAGTCTCGAACCACAATCGGCGAAGGCTTACGTTGTGCATAACGCAATAGTCGATGGAAAAAGGGAAGGTTTGGAAAAACGTTGTCTCCTACATGTGGAGGTATGAATACAGTGCGGTCTCCCATTTTGTTTGAGCTTGAAGATTTCCTTTACTGTTGAGCTGAGATGGTTGTATGTCTTCCAAGGTTATCCCGGCCATTGCATTCGAGTATACCCATTGCTGCAACATATCCTCTGAACTTCCCAACCAATAACTGAGCGCTATATGTCTATTCGGCTACTTGATACTTTCCCGCGGTTTGCATTATTTACTCTGCGGGGTAGAAATGCCGGCATTCGGGACTCGGTGAATTTGAGATGATGGATTTAGCCAAGGCAATTCGGTACGGCTATTTGATCTATGAATAAAGTCAAGGGTTACGGGACTGTGAGATACAGAAATTCAAGAGTCGAAGATTCAAAATGCCTGATTTCACGGATAACCTTCGCCCAAGCCAACCAGATGGGCCAACCACATTAGCCCGCGAGCGTCAACAATCCAACATCGCTACCGAGGAGCTAGGACAACATTTGTTAGCTTCAGATGGATTTTTGGAACGACAAGCTCGGATCTTGCCCATCATACAACAAGAGCCACTTTTCTCCAAAGACCAGCAACAAAATCTCTCCAGACCGGAAAGGTTCAAGCTAGGACTTGCGCGCGCAAAACTCTTACGTCGAATGAGAGACACGCACAAATGGAGCTACCTCGAATACCAAATGGCCGAGTACCTGGTCGACGACGTGTCGCCGTACTTCTTGCACATGGAGATGTTCATCACGACCATCCGCGAACAGGCCAATGAGGAACAACAAGCGTACTGGCTGCCCCTAACAGAGTCCTGGAAAATCATTGGTGCATATGCGCAGACAGAACTCGGACACGGGAGCAATGTCCGTGGCTTGGAGCTTGAGGCGCGTTGGGATGGTCGGACGAAGGAGTTCGTGCTGCACAGCCCTACTCTTACGGCAAGCAAATGGTGGAATGGTAGTCTGGGCCGTATGGCCAATCACACTATTGTGGTTGCACAATTACTTCTCCCGGATCCTAGCTCGCCGGATAAATACGTTTCGCATGGTCCTCACCCGTTCATTGTGCAGGTGCGAGATATGGAGACTCATCAACCGTTGAATGGGATTGTTGTTGGAGATATTGGTCCGAAATATGGTTACATCACTATGGACAATGCGTATATGCTGTTTGACCAATTCAGGTTTGTTTTTCATCTATACCATACGAGTCTCTTCACTAATGATATGCTAGAATCCCACATTCTGCTATGCTCTCACGATACTCAAACGTGGACCCCAACACGGGGATTTATACCAAGCCAGCGCAGCCAGCTTTGATCTATGGATCACTCACCTATGTGCGGGCAAATATGGTCCACCGCGCCCGACTCGTCCTCGCACGGGCGGTCACCGTCGCAGTGCGGTACAGCAGTGTGCGACGCCAGTTCCAAGATCGAGACGGTGACAAGAAGGGACCGGAGATGTCTGTTTTGGACTATCCGACTGTGCAAATTCGGATTTTACCTCTTCTTGCTACAACCTTTGCACTTCACTATACAGGTCTTGCCATGCAGGCAGTGTACCAAAACGCACGGCAGGATATCGAGAAGGGAAATTTCAATTCCTTGGCTCATATGCACAGTATGTCTTCTGGATTGAAGAGTCTGTGCACTATCCTCGCTGCGGATGGCATTGAGACATGTCGACGTGCCATGGGCGGCCATGGGTTTGGTGGTGGGAGTGGCTTGATCCAAGTCAACAATGATTACCTCTCTAAGCCCACTGTTGAGGGCGATAATTGGATGATTACACAGCAAGTTGCGGCGTATCTGATCAAGAAAATGACTGCTGCTGTTAAGTCGCCTGATACTGCCGGTGTTGATGAGACCGAGGCTCAATTCAAAGAGTTTGTTCGCAACAAGCGTAATCCAGGATCAAACAAGCAGACATACGATATCTTGAACAGTGATTTGGACATTGTTAAGAGCTTCGAGCTTCGAGCTACTGCTATGGTAAGTTCGATAAAACTCATACCAAAGAATACCCTGAAACTAATACGCAACAGGCATACGACGCATACGAACAAAGAGTCATCAAAAAGCAAAACTGGAACAGTCTTCTAATCCAGCTTCACAAACTAAGTCGAGGTAAGTTAAATGTTGAACGAGATATCATTATACACTAAGCTAAGACAAAAAACCAGCACAATCCGAATCAATCATCGTCGCAACCTTCTTCAATGCCCTCTCCAACGACAAAACCCTCTCAAGTCCCATCAAAACCGTTCTATGGGACTGCTACCGTCTATTCGCATTATACAGCATGGAGAACGAAAGTTTCGAATGTAAGCAACATCAGCAAACTCCCCATAATTCCCACAAACTAACAAAACACACCAGTCTTCCGCTCCAACGCCGTCTCCCAAGCCGATCTAAATAGTCTAGCCAGTCGAGTCCAAGACCTAATGGCGCGTATCCGACCACATGCCGTGAAACTGGTTGATTCATGGATGATCCCTGATTATTTATTGGATAGGTGAGTGGTTACCAAGTTGTTTGAGATGATGCGATGCATGGATAAGTGTAACTGACTTGATTACAGTGCGCTGGGCCGATATGATGGTCGTGTTTACGAGGATCTATTTAACCGTGCGCATCGGTTGAATCCGCTGAATCGGATTACTTTCAACCCGAATTATTGGGAGGATGAGATTGTTAAGGGGAGTGGGGATAATGGGGGTAGTATTTTGTCGAAGTTGTAGATTTTTATTTTTTGCTGCGCAGGTTGTATTTGAAACTGTTGAGCGAGCTTGTATGTATAGCTAAATCGAATGTTCTATTATATCTTCTTTTAAGATTGCGCTCTGTGGACTAGTGAATTGGCCAAGTGGCTCTCATACAGATTAGGAGACGAATTTCAAAATATGCACTGCGCGTAAAAGTCCACGCAGGGATGATTATTAATTCAATGCAAGTAATGCAAGTAGATAATGCACTGTACTGTAGAACTATGCAATCTAGATAGTGCCAAACTGGTAGGTAGCCCAGTTAACGGCTGGCCCGTCATCAGGACCAAAGACCTGGTAGGGAACACGACCCCACTCAGGGTTATTGATACCATCGATCCAGTCCTCGGTCTCAATCACGAAGCAACCGTACTTGTTAACGTGGGTGGCACCGGCGTCACCACCATCAGCCTTGTTACGCTTCGCCTGCGACTTCTTGGTGGCGATGGAGCCGTTCTGTCCGCTGCAGGTGTAGATTTGCACGGCGGCCTGGTTGGTCGCGACGTCGAGGCTGATACCGGTAGAGCTTGACGAGGCGCTCAGAGCCGTGACCATTGAGTTTGATGCGTATGTTGAGGGTCGGTCGATGAGGAAGCATGTGTCGTAACCGGCGCAGCCAGCACCGCAGAGATTGGTGGTCTTCTCGATGTCCTTGCCGATGAGTTTGGGGCTGGTGAAGTCCAGGGCTCCCTGATACGTGTTTTCGACGTCGTGGATAGTGCCATTCGGGATTAAGATGCTGTCTCCGCCGATGAAGCGCTGCGAGAGGGGAAGCTGCAAGGTGGTGTCCTTGAGCACGTTTGATTCTTTGAACGCGTTCAAATTCCAGTAGATGTGGTTGGACAGCATGATGGGGGTCTTCTCTGTAAGAGCGAGAGCCACGAGCTTTGAGGTCAACTGGGGAAGTCCCTTGGGGTTGGCTTGAGTCTTCTCGGTAGACACGCTGAAAGTAGCATGGGTGATGACGTCTCCTGGGAACTTCTCGAAGCCTTGATCGAGCAAAGTGAAGGTGATGGAGGACTCGCTGTGCGAAGTGACTGTCCAGTTGCGCATATCGTATCCGGTGAAGCCACCGTGGAGGGTGTCCACGCCGTCGTTTTCATTCTCAGGGACATGGTAATCGTTATCATCAATGGTGAAGGTACCGTTCTTGATACGGTTGGCATAGCGACCGACAACTGCGCCAAAGAACGTGCGATTGGTCTGACTATCATGGAGATATTCCTTGGGCTCATCGTAGCCGACGACCACATCTTGGACGTTGCCATTGCGATCTGGAACTAGCAAGGAGGTGAGACGCGCGCCATACGGAATCAGCTTGGCAGTGATATTCTCTGCCTTGATCGTATAGCTCTTGAAGTGATCATCATTTGAGCCAGCAGCAGTTGAGACCGATGCAGCCTGTGAGGGAGATGGCGATGGGGCAGCATTGGTCAGGGCAGGAAGCCCATACAGGGCGGCTGTCACATAAGACTTGAGATGCATTTTGATTCCCAGAAGAGTTGTAACTGAGAGAAACAAGATACAGAAGAAGAGAAGAAAACGAAGGGTGATCCGGGTTGGGCAAATTAGACGGAGCCAACCGAGGGGTGCAGGCATTTTATAAGAAGCTTCGGATGGCAATAAACATTCCCCAATTTGCGCTAAACTACCTCCGCATGGCTGACGCTAGGGGGCGGGGCAATAGACGGAAACCGGGGTATAAATTTGTGAAAAGACTAGGATTTATCCGAATGCAGGTATGATTGAGATGCAGGTCAACCATTGGACTGTTAGACAAAGCGGACGCTGGAGGATGAGGGGGAAGATCCGAGCCCCTATTCGGGGGATGTAACTTAAGAGGTGCGGGTCCAGTCAAGCTCCAGAGGCGTTCTGCCACTGACGGCACGGAACAAATGTTACCTCGACCGAGTTCATATGCGACTGGCAAAACTCCGGTGGAGTAGTTTCTTGTTTTGCCAGTAGATACCGCCTGAGACCACTTGGTCCCTTAGTCAGCTTGGCTCTTTCCATTTTGGGTTAGTTAGTTAGTTAGTTCCTTCCTTAGGTAACCTTAGAAGGAGCCCAACCTTAGAACCTTGAGAGGTTCCAAGCTTGGCCTCAGGAAAAGACTATAAACATCTGGGGTTGAGAGAAAGAACAACAAGCTACTTAATGAGGCCCAAAAATCGCTTCATCCGATCATAGACATAGAAACTTGTCGCCGCCATGGGAGCCATTTTCACATAGCCAATGGTCAGCCCAACATAAAACCCTCTCACTCCCCTCTCCAGAAAGATACACCGGGCTGTCTCCAAAATGCCGTCTTTGGCATGATCCACGCTTCGGACTTGTATTCGTCGTCGAATGATATCAATTGGGTAAGAAATTGTTTGAGCAACTATACCAGCAACTGCTCCACATGAAAGCTGCGCAACAGCGGTCAGTCGAGTAGAAGATGGCGATTCCAGAGTATAGGGTGCAAGAGTAGGTGTGCGAAGCAAGTCTCTAAGTAGATCGTGGGTGAGGAATGACATGCCCGCATACGGAAGTATGCCTAGCATAGTCGGGGCAATTCCCCGATAGAGATTTGACAAGCTCCCGCTCCCACCTCCTTCAAAGTAAATCTTTCGAGAAATACTAAGCCAGGATGAAGGATTCTTTTGTACCGTTTCAAAGGCAAGACGTGTACGGATCAACTCAAGAGGATATGTGACCAATGTAGAGGTTGCACCGGCCATACTTCCGCACAAAAATCGACGCCATGGTGCTTCTTTCTCGGTAGATGGGATAATTGCTGCTCGGAATTGTTCGTATGCGAGAAAGTTGATACCGGCATATGGGAAGACACGGACCAAGCTTGCCGAGTGACCTTTGAAAAGCGCAGGCATACCATACAACGATCGAATTTCTCTGGCGGCTTTGATTAAACCATTCCAGCGGGCTGTATACTGCACAAAATGGGAGTGGGAGGTCTGAAAGAGGATTCTGATCCTCTCCAACGGGGCGACAATAGTTTTGGCCTACAGTACTCCATCAGCAATCTACTTCTGGTAGCTCGGGTAGTAAGGCTCACAGCACAGCCTGCGACACCTCCAGCTAATCCATTTCGTAAAACAAAGTCCAAACTCCGGCTGTCTTCATTTGATTTTGATGTGCGATACACAAGGTGATTGCTTGCTATCTTCGTCGGGTCTGTCGCGATTGGGACACTGATGCCCGTGTCCCGCATTTCTCCCGCAAGGATCAGCAGGAGCTCCGAGTGAGGTGAACTGAAGAATCAAATCGAAGTTAAGTTCAGGTTCAGCATGGTAGAAAATAATGAGTAATTACACTGACAAAGTACCTCGGCAGTCACCCAACACATTCCCTAGTACACAAGGGAGGAAGAGAGAGAAAGTGAAGTCTTGGTAGTTAAGGGGTTCAACATATATACGCCAACTGACAGCGACCGTACCATCTGAGAAAATTATTCGAACGCGACTCAACCCTGGACACCGCAAGCATCGAAGCGAAGCGTTATCTCCTAACTCCGGCTATTTTTTCAAGCCCTCCAATCACATTCATTTACCTTATACAAGGGTAGCATACCCAACTAATTGTTGAGTTAGCTACTAACTAAATTATATACTTCAACTGACAGCCTAACTAAATCTGAATCCACTTTATTAATTGGAAGCTTGTAGCCAAATACAATATCAGTCGCCTTATTCTGAGAGATCCAACCACAAACTGAAATGAAGAGAGATGTCAGACAAGTCAACTTCGTACTAAGTTGCGATATTTTCAAGCGGCCTTTTTTGGTTGAAACAGATATTCATATTCTCGTGAAACTTAACAAACTGATCTCTAATTCTCAAACATAAACACCCTTTCGGCTGTTTCGGTGACGCCAAATCTCAACCTCACCACCACCACGAATCACCCCAACCCGCATAGAGGAAAGTAAGTTGTGAGCGGCATTGGAGTGGGTGTAGACACCACCATTGAACATAGCAGTGGCATCTTTCCCAATGGCCGATGAAATGAGTGTTTTACCACCAGGGTGTTCGGAGATAAATTTGCTCACATCGTGAACAACACCAGCAATGGCAACTAGAGCTTTGCCACTCTGAGCCTCTGCAATGAAATCGTCCCAGTCCACAACAGGCAGTTGGTCGAGTGGAACACCCCAATCCAGCTTAGCGCGCTTCTGGTCGAGCTTCTTCTGTAGTTGTTGCACACGACCCTTCTCGATCTCGTTGGCTCGGAACTGCTTGAGGTTGGAAGCCAGACCGAGTTGTTTCCAGACCCAGATTGACCACTTTGTGGGATCGTACTGCCACCATTGGATGGCATTGCGGTAGTCGGAGGGAAACTGGTCATAGGTTAGTGGAAGCCAAGTGAATGCAAAGGAAGAACCTTCCTACCTCGTGGTGGAAGTTGTGGTAGCCTTCACCGAGAGTGATGAGCGCAGTAATGACGTGGTCGCGAGGTGAGTTCCTGTCATCAAATGGCTAATGCGTGTCAGAGTTATGAACGAGAATAGGATAAGAATAGGATAAGAACAATGACTGACCTGTTCACCCAACCAATGGGCGAGAGAATTGACGCAGAAGGTGGCTTGTTGCACAAACGAAAACCGAAGAATTCCAGCATATACAAGACCGCCCTTCCAATCACCCCATCCCAGACCAGCAACGAGCATAGGGAACAACATGCCGAAAACCAAGATAACCGATCCATAGTGCTTGTGCTGCCAGACGACGACCGGGTCCTCATTCAAGTCGGAGATATCGGTTCTGCCCCGGTTTTTCGGGTTCTGATTCAGAACCATCCACATAAAGTGTGAATACCAGAGACCCTTCATCACGCTGTATGGGTCCTTGACTGTATCGGTCCATCGGTGGTGTGCCCTGTGTTTACTGCTCCACCACCGGATCGAGCCTTGAACGGCACCACCACCGACACATGCGAGGAATATCCTAATTGGAAGGCGACTGGAGATATCGGATGTCAGTCATTGCTTAATTCGAAGTGAAGTAGGGGATGAGACTGTGGCAGACTTACGCTTCGTATGATCTGTGCGCCCATAGACGATGGTAGCCGGCAGTAATTCCCAGTCCAGTCCAGAAGTAGTAAAGAAGTGCCCATGCAGCAGTGATTGCCCTCAGCTCTGTATAGAATGCAGCGACGAGGCCACCGACGGGTACGATCAGGATGAGGGTTGTGTTGAGCCAGTTGACATGCTGATACCAGTTAGAGAGTGTGACAGGCTTCTCGCTGATGTGCTGTTTTCCACCACTTGGCTCGGTTTTCGCCATTGTGGTAGTGTATCTGGAATCGTAGCTCCCTTGTAAGTGTTCACGGAATTGTGATGATTGAATCGAAGCGAGGAGAAAAAGATTTTGAATTTCCTGAACCCTAAGACATTATTTAACATAAATAACTATCTAGATATCTAATACCAACAATTCAAATCAGTTGATGTTCCTCCCAGCAAGAAAGTGTTGAACCGTTGGGAATGTCAGGCCATCTCACAGATGCCAGGGCGGGATTTCTCTGGACGTCCCACCAGCCTTAAAATATAAGTACATAATCTCTAGGATTCATCATTCCAAGCCCTTTTATTGGTTGAAATGTTTTATATCTCAATAATTGACAGGCAAATCATCCTTAGAAATTAAAATGTGTGTCGCAAGTTGACCACTGATTCGGGGCTGATCCACTCATTTGGCCCCCGGGGCCAGTGCACCCCGGAGGCCAAGTCCCAAGTATGACCAAAGCCTGGAATCCAACGTCAAGGCATGGTTTTACTCAACAGTTTGGACATGAGGTTTTGATGTCGAATAGGCGGAGACTGGTTTGGTAGACTTTACTATCGTTGTCTATGTATGGTAGCCGAGGTGATATAGCCTATGTAATCTGTTAGCCTATCTAGCCACAATAGTTACCCGAACTAATGTAGTCACAAAGAAAAAAAGATGAATGAAATAGGATGCTTGAATATATAGTCCGACTACCTTTCGGGCTAGGATATCCCTTCGGTCTTTATCTTGGTATTGTGTATGAGGATTCTACGTCACAAACTGTTTATGTTCCTAAAAGAGAGGGGAAGGACCAGATTCAGTGCCACTACTTTTCTTTCATTTCCAATGTTGATAAGTGACTATCCCATGAAACTCCAATTCCATTCCTCCACCGTATTCCACCATCCCTGGAATACGTTCTTCGTAAAATAGTTCCCAAACATGGACTCAAAAGGAAGCCGCAGTGTGGAGATAAGAGAGATCCATTGCAGACTGGAAAAGGCTCATTTAATAGTGCTGTGACATGCAAGTCACTTCACAGGCCACTTCACTGCCGAATGAAAAAGGTCCAGCGCTGTAAAGGATCTCTCCTCCCTCCGCATCGAGGCTTCCTAATGCTCCCTTGTTAAGGAAGTACCGTTGAAGGGACAACCGCGATGGATCACTCGGGCCAAGAGATGCCGAGGACAGCCATGACTCTTTCACAGTCCTCGCGGTTCTTGTTGGAGTCATAATAGACAGCACCAATGATAGCTTGCATGGCATCAGCCATGACATTTTTCCCGGCTATAACGCCCCACTGGCCCGGATTCTTGATGAGAAAGGGATCAAGACCAATGGCAATGGCCCGGTCCCTCAAGTTTTTGTTAGAGGCCACCGTGTTGAGGACGTTCGTAATCTCTTCTATTGATAGCAATAATGGTTAGCACATATACAAAATAGTAATCGATAAGGGGGTCACTACCTGGTGACTTCTTTCTCGATCGACCCTGATCAATAAGGCTTTGGTCAAGAAGCGCATCGCCAGCCATGGCGAGGGTCTTATTGCCCCCGGCATTGAATGGCGCCGAGCCTTGAAGAGCCTCGCGAATCAGAGCTCGCTGGGTGAAATGGTAGACCTTCTGGAGAACCACATTCTCAAAGACCTCAATTTCCTGGTCCGAGGGGAGGTCCATAAAGATAACCATGTTGAAGATTGGGAAATGATCCGTGTGTTGATAATAATATGGTGGGTGATTGTGTCAGAGACAATGGGGTGAATGAGCAATAAGTGATAGATGAGGGGAGAAGGAGATGATACTTATAAGAAATGAGAATGAGGGAATTGAGACGCGAGTCATGTTGCCGCCGCAAGGCAGAATGATTGGGAACAGTAGTGGGCTTGAACTGTGCCCAGCCTCACTATTTTGTTGAAACCAAATCAGGGTATGTGTACTCCGTACATGCTTGTTATTCGCTCATCACCTGCAGAGAGGCATATGTACCCAAATATGTCGTGGCATGTCATTATTAGTGAGAAATGTGCCTTGGATGTCTCCGTTTCCCATAGGCTTGCATGCTTTGATAATCCCAGACTGGGATGCCCAGTCTGGGCAACTTGCCAGCGAGCTCGTCTTGAATGTGAGACATCCTGACATGTAAGCCACATTGCCTCGAAGGAGCTCATTCGCAGAGCAACCCCGCTTTCAAGGTCCGAAGTCATCCCCTTGACGCGACTCTCCCATAACATTGATGCCAGAGACCTTTATGTCTGGAGTAAATATCGAGATGTTCAAAAATAAAATTACTATATTTTATATAAGATATAGATATTTATCCCCAAAAAAGGGGGGGAGTCAGCTACAGTGTGTAAATGGTAAACGGCTAACTGTTAGCGTTCGGCTTTGGACGTGGCCAGTGCGGTCGGGTGGCACCCGGGTGCTTTAGCGCGCGACCCGGAGCGACGAGACGAGGGTGATATAGATTCCATATCCCGCGCATCGATAAGTAGGAGCAATGCTAGACAAGAGATATAATTGGCACATGAATAACGAAGTGGCTATGTGCAGATGCCAAGAGACTGAGAGTCTTGAACAGTTCTGTCATCCAATAATAACTAGATCAGCATCGTTTCAGGATTAGTGCGGCGGTTGCGCGACTTGTAATTCTCAGCCTGATTTATTATACCTTGTCTATAGCGCCTCCAGTCCCCACGCCACAGGCCAGGGGTTTGATCAACAATACTAAATTCGCCCTCCTTCCAAGGTTGTATCGGGAAGGCTTCATATGGCCCACGGATTTGCTTAAGGATTTATAATCTATGTAATCTGTTAGCCTATCTCGCTACAATAGTTGTCCGAACTAATCTAGTCACAACGAAAAGAAAGATGAATGAAATCCATGGATTTCCAAACATTTTAATTCGCATAGTCCGACTACCTTTTAGGCTTGTTCTTATAGATTACGGTATTCTCCAACCGCCAGTGCGCTGTACCAGACTTTTGCCTACAGTATACTATGTAATACATATGAGCATTTTATAGATCTAGATACAGTAATATCACATCAATTCTCTATATAAGTTTAATAAGTTTGATTCGAATTCTCGATAGTCATATTCTCAATAATTAGATTCTCTATGCTCTAATTGGCGATCCCTTATTTCTCAATACCTGAATTCTCGAAAGTCTTCACTTTCTTTACTCTAAATTCTACGCTTGAACGGTGAACTCGTATTTACATTTGACAAGTTATATATGGAAAAGTCATCTATCTACCATAAAGCTAAGCGCCGGGGTGGGGGTTAACATCTAAACACAATATCGAAGAAGAATATCCAAAAATACTACTATACTAAGAAGACTACTAAAAAGTCTTAGACACACAAGCCCGCATTCGCGGCCGGCGATTCTTATTCACCATTCCTGGAATACTACCTATTTGTAATATTTCTTCATGTAACGGCTCCAAGTCATAGAGGCATTAGCAAGCCTCGATGGGGAGATAAGGGAGATCATTTGAGACATTGGAGCCTTTTCATTCGGTAGTAAATTGACGTGCATCAAGGAAGTGTTGTTATGATAGAAATAATGGTTAGCGAACGTGTAAAATAGTAATCTATAAGGGGGCAGGTCACTACCTGGTGACTTCTTTCTTTCCCGACCTCGATTTATTTGTCCGAGGGGGGATGCATAGAAGTAGCCATGTCAAAGCTTGAGAAATGGCTAGAGTGTGTGTGGTATTGTGTCAGAAGGAATGAGTTGAATAAGAAATAAGTGAGAGATAAAAGAGACGGAGAGGATAATAAAAAAAAATTGGAAGGAGTTTGAGACCAAAATCAGGTTTTCCATAGGTAAGCTTGCATGTTTTGATAATCCCAGTTTGACCAACCTTGGAACCTGCCAAATGAACCTATCTTGAACGATTCAAAATCAGCTTTCGAGGGTATTAAGGACTCTTGTTAGTGAAGCTTTGCGTCTGTAGGAGACTGCATCCTGACATGTAAGCCACATCGTATTGACCTCTAAGCAATTCAGTCGTTGAGCAACCCCGTGTCTCCCCTTAACGCGACTCTCCAATTGCATCATAAAGGGCATTGGCCCAGTCTAAGAGACCTTTATTGAGACGACAGAGGAGTGGGTATCGGAATATTCAGAAATAAATTTACTATATAAAGTAGATCAGTATAGAGTTTTATCCCCGATAAAGGGGGGTAGCCAGGGGTGACGAGGGTGAGTGCGCTATATAGACGGGGTGGAAATCAGGGTAAGAATGACTTGCAAGTCACTCTGGCGAATACAACGTGAGGAAGTGTACCAGAAAGAATGATAATACAGTGCAAGATCTCCAGATTCAGAACTGTGGAATATAGAGGTATTATATAGGACAAGCTGGATGCTAGACACAGGTAGATGTGGTTCAGCAGCGATTCGGGTGTAACATGCATAACCTGCGTATTCAGGCCAGTTGGCGATGTGATATTAGAAATATACTGTAACGTATCGCGTATACACAACGGGATCCTGCATCTCAACACGCTCTTACAATCTTGCTCATGTGACTTTACTATTTGTTTACTACCACAAACCCTCTTCATGGTACAGTCAAAATGTCAATCTATCTCTGGCATTGTTACTCGACTGTACAGGCTGCTTGGAGGTCTTTTATTGAAGGTGCATTTGGCATCTTGTCTGGTGTATTTCCACTATTTATCAGAGCCTATCCATCCAATCCTCAGAAATTAGGTACCGTTTGTATGGCACGCCCATACCAAAGGTACAAATACAAAATTTACATCTGTTTTTCTGATGGGTGGAAAATCAATACCTTGTATTTATTGAAACCCAGATAAACCATCACAGCCTTTAATTTTCCATGGCCTTCTCGAATAATGAGTGGAATAGCGATTCCGCCTTCTCCATATCGACTTTGCCTGCTTGGTCCCTCAGTCGTTGGGATCTGCATACAATCTGATCATGTAGGGACTCAAAATCAACACCAACAAGCCGACCATTCTGCTTGACAATCTTTCCGTCGACGATAACGGTGTCAATGTTCTTTGGCGATGCATGGAAGATCACAGTCGCGATAGGATCAATCACGGGCACGGTATCAATGTCATCACAGCGGAACATCACCAGGTCAGCCTTTTTACCAGGCACGATAGAACCAATCAACGAGTCCATTCCCATAACCTCTGCGCCTCCCAGAGTTGCCATGCGTAACACATCTACTGTCTTCCTGCGGACATCTCGGTGGACTGTACGATGATCACAGTCGCGAGCTCGTTGCGTCTGAAGAGCCAACCTCATCTGTGCCATGAAATCATTACCTTGATTCGAAGTGATATCGAGCCCAAGGCACGACCGACAGCCTAGATCGGCAGCTTTCCATACTACGGGATATCCCATGCCCATTTGCAGCTCCGTGTCGGGCGTCCCAACAACACCAGCCCCGGAACTCTGCACCGCAGCCAGCTCGCTATCTGTCATCCAACCTCCGTGGCTGAATACAAGATCCGGTCCCATGAGTTGTGCATTGGCGAAGTTCTGGACGACTTCAGGCTTAGGGGCCCCATCATGAGATACTACTGAAGAATGTACAGTCGTGAGCCTAGCCCTGAGCTTTCTCGCAGTATTCAGTTCCCCGATTGTTTTCTCCGGGGGCTGAGTCGGCGGATCATTCAACGCAATACCAAAAGTGATAAGCGAACTGTCGGCATCATTGTTCGTGAAGTGCTCTTCGCGCACACGAAGAGCATCATCGACTCGTGCGGCCTGGTCAAACGTGTCTGTCGCAGTGCTCGCGAAATCCCCGGGTTCTTTTGGGTTCTGATAGAATCCATAACAGAATGTTCCTCGAATACCGGCATCCTTCAAGCCCTTCACAGCTGCGTCGGCATGTGCAGGCGAGTTTATAACGTGGCAGTGGTCCAGGACGGTCGTGACGCCGTTGTTGAGCAAACTCAACGCAGCAGCGTACGTGGCAAAGTAGACATCGTCTGGTGTGTAAAGACTTCCATAGACGCTCCTCAGGTGACATGCATAGCCAAACAGAGACCAATCAGCTGTGATACCGCGCAGGAGGTGCTGCCACATGTGATGGTGGCCGTCAACGAGCCCCGGGGTAATGATACAATCTTTTGCATCGATCGTGGACACGATGTATCCAGTCGGCACGGATAAGTCTTGACCTATATCCTTTATCCGGTCGTTTTCTAGTAGAATGTCGCAATTGTAGAGGGGCTTCCCTCCCGACGCCACCATGGAGATCACCGTTCCACCTTTTATCAGAATGTACGAGTTTGACATAGTGCGTCTTCAATCACTCCGATTAATCATGAAATATTGTGGAAATTCAAAGACCAACACACAGGCTTTTCTTGAGAATGTATCTGAGACATGGAAATCAGTTTTATATTTTATGGTTGACGTCATCGAGTTCGCCGGCGACTAGTTAAATCCATGGGTGTAGTAAGAGCCGCACTTTAACCGTATCATTTGCGAGTAATCTGTCCCTTTTTATATAGGGGATAATAGCTACAGCCGTAAGTAGATTCGGCAAATGGGGCTTTGGCCTAGTTCATCATATGTAGATAATAGTTTAGCCTTTGGCCTGGGTCAAAGATTTCGATCCCAAAAGGCGATATCTTACATAAAGAAGACAAAAAACCGGGTTACGGCGCTGATATCAGCGCGCTAAACTAGGAGGATCATCCGACGTAACGTGGGCATGTACTTTGTAGCTGGCGGGGTTACGATCTGGCTGCCTAAAACTCACTTTCAAACCTAGCTTCTCGCACTCCAAGAGAACAAGAAAAGAACACCCAAAATGCACGTCTCGCGCGTTTTCCAAGTTTCCTTGGCTATTCACGGCTTGCTCTACCTTGGGTGATCCGCTCGCTGACCCTATGCAGGTCAACCCCGCCGAGCATCGACCGACTGCGGCAATTGAGCAGCTCGATCGACAATATTTGCAAAATAGAGGGCGTTCCAGGCGTTTCTATTGGAGTCATTGAGCATGGAGAAACTTTGTGGACCGAAAACTTTGGATTTCGCGACAAATCCAAAACAGCACCTCCAGACGCACACACCCAGTACGGAGTCGGACATATCACCATGTCAATGGTAGCTGCTGGTGTTGGGAAACTTGTGGACGAGGGAAAGCTTCAGTGGACAACCCTCCTGAGAGAAACGATACCCGATATTGACCATGCTGGCGCCGACTGGACCCACAGATCAACAATAGCCGATATTCTGGCACATCGCTGTGGCTTGGATGGAGAGATAGCAACTTTGCTAGCTGACGGTGGAAATGGCAACATACAGCCGTCTCTTGAAGAGTTCTTGATAACTATCAACCGTATCCCTAGCCCGCTTCCCCACCGTGAGAGCTGGCTGATCTGTCCGTGGGGATACACAATCGCTGCGCATATAATTGAGCATATATCTGGACAGCCACTTCACGAGTATCTTCAAGATCAGGTATTCCGGCCACTTGGGATGACTTCTACCACTTTGCGGCCATCATTTGAAGAGGGCAACAATGTCGCTGAACCGCATGCTTCTCTTAGCAACGGGGAGATTTATCCATTGAAATTTCAACCCAATTTTGCGGATACATTATTCGAAGCTTCTCGTGGAGCTCATTCAACAGTAAGTGATCTTCTCATATGGGCCAAGGAAACAATGGCTGCGAGCCAGAGCGCCGAGGCATCTCCCAACACAGTATTGAAACAAATACCGCACATCCTTAGCAACCATATCGCAATGCAAAATCCGTCTTTGTTGGAGAAATCGTACGGATTTGGCTGGGCGAGAGCCCAGGTTCCTGGGGTTATGGCCCTTCTCGGTGGAAACTCAGATATTTCGGAAATGTCTAAGCAGCCTATTTCCAGGGCTGGAAACCAGTCTAGGCTCATGATTTATCACCAAGGCGGAGGACCGGGATACTCTTCCTTCCTTGCGTTGTTTCCCGAGACACAGTCGGCCGTTGTAGTTCTCATGAACACCACTGCGGCGACCGATGTTGCTGACTGGATCGCACGAATCCTGGTCGAGGGCCTCTTCGACTTCGCCGAGCCCACCGATTACGTCAGACTCGCAGAAGAAGGTAGAAGACGAGCAGTCGATCGGTTTGCTACACTGCATAACAGATTGAGCGAAGAGAAAACCCAAGGAGCACCACCACTACCCCTTGAATGCTACGTGGGCAAGTACAACAGTCAAAACCATAAGTACATGCTGGAAGTCACTCTGAGTCCAGAGTCAGAGAGTGACCTTATGGTTTCCTTCCAAGGTCTCGACTCACAGCGCTACCCTCTCCGTCACTACCACGACCACGTCTTTGAGTGGAGCATGAGCTTTGACGATATGAAGAAGAGCGGAAGATATAATATCACAGATCCCTCATACTATAAGATTCGGTTCGAAATCTATCCCGACAACCGAGCCTCTCGGATAATTTGGAATATTCACGATGCCTCAGTTCCAGATGGACTGATATTTGAGTGGAAAGATGAGCGTCTTGCGGAAGCATGGCGCGCAGTACGTGCCGGTATGCATCGCTTCGTTTCAAACTACATGTAGGATTAGCTACTGACTTGAAGACAAATCACCATTTAGACATTGCGGCCGCCAAGAACTTGTCTTAATTCGTTGAAGGATTCGAATATCTAGCCTGTGTGAAATTTCTCATCTCTTGAGCTTAGTGTTACTTAATATAATATGTACGATATTCAGAAATTCAATCATATATATGGCAATGCTAGAGAGCAGCCTCGAATAGTTAAAAGTTCTTCAAATGGGAAGATGGAACCACCACTTCGATCTGATCAATTCCAGTTGCACCACAGGGATGAGTTACTCTGGCTGTATCATCATACTTCAGTCTAGACAGCCTGGGATACCCATCATAGCACACGAAAGAAGATTCCAAGCGGCCCGTTGGGAAGTACTTCTCATCTGGCGTTTCCGGTGCATTATGGAAATCCGGGTTGGCTGGTGAATATACCGAACTGCGTATGTAGCAAGGAGGGAAACTCGTTATCACTAATTGTCGCCGCAAGCACTTGATATAGATGTCAATATAATAACTGAAGTGAATGGCGCGTATTGTTATAGGGAAAATATGACACCAAGTTGGATGTTGGAATGGGATAGGCCCCAAGACCAATAGTTCAACAAAAATGCGTTCAATATATATATAAAAGCCTACACCAATAAAGGCTCAAAGGTACTCCAAGTGTCTACACAAAAGTCACTCAGATAAAATCCGCCTAAGCCAGCTCTTCTTCGCCGCAACAGCTGCTTTTGACACCGGCACATCCGGCGCAAACATATCAAACCCATGCCACGCCCCCGGCCAAACATGCAACTCAGCCGATACACCACTCTCCCAGAGCAACGACGCATACTGCACTGCTCCATCGCGAAAGACCTCCGCCTCCCCCACGTCAATAAATGCCGGCACAACACCAGCGAGATCCGTGGCCTCCGTTGGAGAAATCAACTCACTCACGCTATCTCCCTTCTCCTTAATCCTACTACCTAGAGTGGCCACCTCTCCCTCAGCAGAATTAGGCTGCTCTAATCCCAGAACAAAGCCCCAAGCCAACCGATCCGTCCTCCCATTCCACGGCCCCTGATCCTCAAACTGCCTCGCGGAAACCGACTCCCCCGAATAATCCAGCATCGGTGTAGAAAGCAGCTGACCACGAAGCGCAGGAGAGCCGTGGTTTCGCGCTTTGATTGCACATGCTGCCGCTAGAGGCCCGCCACCTGATACCCCCTGTACTAGGATCTTGGATGCGTCGATGTTGAGGATTTCTGCATGTTCGGCGACCCAGGTTAGACCGTTGTAGCAGTCGTGGAGGGCTGCTGGAGCGGGGTGTTCGGGGGCAAGACGGTATTCGACTGATATATGCACGGCGGGGAGGGGGACTTCAGTGTCATTTTCTGTGTACCAGGCAATTACAAATTCCAGGCCGGTGAATCTGTCGCCGGCGATTTGGCCGCCACCGTGGATGTTGTAGATTGCTGGGAGCGGGGTGGTGTGGGACTTGGGGGTGAAGACGGAGAGGGTGATTGTATCATCCTGGCCGTAGTTGGGGTCCGGGGTTGGGATGGTATATTCTTTGTGCGAGAGGTGCGGGAAACGAGAGAGGACTGAGTCGAGAGAGAAGCTGTAGGGGTGGCCGCGGATGGTATTGAGGGTTTGGAAGCTTTCAGATGGGATGGCGGTTCTTACGTGTTCGAGGGCTGGGTCGAAGGGAGGCCGAGGGAGCTTAGAGTGACTATTTGCTGCACCGGCGTGCACCGCTGGGTTGGTGTATAGGGTGGAGGTGGACATTGTTGACTTTAGGTAATGATTCTCTGCTCTTGTAGAACGGTTAGATGGATCTGAGATGATTTATAAGTCTGCTGAGCTATATGGACACAGGTATCTCTACTTCTACAAGGATGATGGGTCCCTTAGAAGCATAAAGTGTGTTTCGCCATTGATCGCCAATTGCAATGCGTGGACGATGTCGTCCACCTCCATGAACTAGTCCCCCTGATATGCGATCCTTTCCTCCGGATACGACCCAAAACAACGCGCTACCATTGCAAGGAATTAAAGTTACTTAATCCTGTACTAACAGGCCTAGCCTAGCCAAGTATCCTACATAGGCGAACATCCCTCCAGATACCCTATTCGTCTCCACTAACAAACTTACTATACATTATATTCCACAACCGCGACGAGCACGTACGGCACAACAAACCCGGATGCACGGAAGGCCGGAAGGCATCACATATGAGAGGCCAATCAAGCTCTAACGGTAACCAACTCTGCCATCTGGGGGTACTTCCTTGAAAAAGTCCCATCCAGCGACCAATTCTCGAAGACTGCAACATGCGCTACAAATCCTGGGTTTAACTCGGTCTCGAAGTTTTGGCCCCTCACGAGAATCGGGCGCGAACTCGGCCAATTTGGTTAGATGCCGCGTAGTCCACGTTGAGCTCGTTCTTCACGTACTCGATTGAATCTAACACCAACGCGTCCCGTAGCCGTGGGAAATGCACGAAGTCAGCCCAGATTGGGTATGACATATTGTCTTGGATCTCGGTTGTGCGGAGCTACTGGGGGATATCTCGGGGTTCTCTGCTGACGGGAAGAACCGATACTAGATATCTGGTAAGTGACAGTGGCTACAAGGACGGGGGAATGGATAAAACGTATACGAAGGACCCAGTATATTAGAAGAAACGCACTGGTAGCGACGCAGAAGTCTGTAGGTCCTGGGCACCTTAGCATTTTGATGATAACCTGCGAGACGACGTTTTCGCCGTATCTAATTAAAAGCAGGGCCTGGAGGAATGGAAGGCGCGGGATGGTTTCCGTTGGGCAAGAGAACTGCTGCGGGGCATAGTGGGCGTTCATTAAGGCAGTATAGACAGTGTACTCGAAGCATTCGCTATAGGAATCGTGCGACTGCGGCCGGCAGCAACAAGTTGTTGGAACCGACGACCGGAAGACATCGCCTCCGGTTGGGAACTGCGGACCTGCGGGAGAGCCTGTCGAGTTGGCTAGACCCCAGTCAACCGATACGAGTTCTCGGCCAGCCTGCTCGTGAAGCTCCGGTGGAGCGGATCGGCTCTCTAGCACAGGATTCTGTGTGGGCGAGATTTCGCTCGCACAAGCTGGAAGTGGATGCGTAGTGAAGTTGAGGATGGTCAGGGTGCCAAGGACCATGTCGATGCTTTTTTGCAGGTCAGCCATGTCTTGCATTATCTGTTTGACCTTGTCGTGGATTTCCACCAGCTGCTGGCGATCTAATTCGCGTTTCGTCTGCTGGGTTACCTTGTCCGCTGCTCTCTTCCTCTCCAGTTAGTTGGGCGTTCGGCGACGAACGCGACGGCTGGCAGACTCCATAGTCATGTGTCTGAGAGTGCGGAGTTGGAAGTGTAGGGGAAACGGACTTGTGGACTCTGGAAAGGGGGACGAAATCTGTTGCCTAGAACTATGATAACTGAGGGAGAGGTACCATTCCCATTTCAATTTCAGGCAAAGGAACCTACACCGGAAATACGATGTTTAAATAAAAGCAAACACTAGTCCTAAAGTAGTTTAATGTCTGAGAAGAGCCATAATTTAAGACAACATTTGAATCACATTAGGGCTTGAAACCGCAACCACCTTACCATTCTATTATCTACCAAACATCCTCTCCAGCGCCAAGATACTGCCAATAACCTAGTTTGACTAGCCATAGTTAGCTAACTAGTCCTCACTAGTTTCCTTGACCTCACTAGTTGCCTTGGCCCCACCAGCCTTGGCCCTCCGTTCCTGCACCGGCGCTGCAACCTCATTCGTCATATACTTCGCAGTGGGGGAAAAGAGCAACGCAGGAACAAGACAGATCCCCGCAAACGCAAGAAGAATATACCAAATATACCTGAAACTATCCGCATAAGCAACCTTCTTCGCCGCCCGCGCAGCACTAAGCACCACGGGCGTAACCCCCGGCACATTCGCCAGCGCTGGATTGCCAGTTGTGTACGCGACGAGGAAATCGGCAAGGCTAGATTCCGGGAGGCCAACCTGCAGCACCGACTCAGATAGCTTAAGTGGAAGCGCCTTCTTGATCTTGCTGTTGAACACCACGCTGTATATGGTCACTGCGACGGCTCCACCTAGGAGTGTGGCTGCATTTGCGACGCAGACCCCCGTCGCGATGAGGTGATTTGGGACAAAGTAGCTCGATAGCACGGTCATGAGGCTTGCTTCTCCGCCGACGGTGATTCCGATCATGGCGGCGGGGAAGAACCAGGCGGCGAAGCTAATGCCCGGTTTGATGATGAGCATTAGCCCAGCGCCCAGCATGAGCGTCAAAATCAACGGTGTAATGATCCACCGGGCCTCCTTGAATTTTTTCAAAAGAAGGCCGCAATGACACTGCCGATCATCGAGCTGACTGTCATTGGGAGTTGCCAGACGGCTGTTGTGAGACCGTCGGTCTCAAATACGGACGCTGCTACTTGGGGGAGATAGGCCTGTCCGCCGAGAAGCGCGATTCCACCAACCACCCGGACATACACGGTGAGAACATAGTTTCGGTCAACAAAAAGATCGTGATGCATGAGACCGGTTTTTGTTCCTTTCCATTCCCAAAGAACAAAGCAGAGAGAGACCACAAGCCCCGGGATCAAAGTCCCTAGAACCACCGCTGAATCCCAGGAATATGGGTTTCCCCCGTAGTTCAGACCAACCAGGAATAGCGTGACACCTGTCGAGCAAAACGCTATACCCAACCAGTCTACCTTCCTCAGAAGTTGCATGATCGATAGACCCTCGGGATTGGGCCTAGGCATAGGATGATACAACGTGGTGATAAAAGCGAGGGTAATCGCCCACAAGGCAGCACCGATGTAGAAGCCAATACGCCACCCCTCCAGTATTCCGCCCACTTTTTGTTTGATACACACACCTTCCAGGATGGGGCCACAGATATATGATACGCTGGTGACAGTAGTGATTGCCGCAAGGAGGAGGGGCCGTTGTCGCTTCGGAACAATTTCCTGGGCCAAGGCCGAGGCGAGGAACATGGAGGCATTTCCTAGACCGTTCAGAACTTGGCCGCCGATGAGCATCTTGATGCTAGTCGCTCGCCCTCCGATAATCATCCCAACAGTCCCTACGACACAGCCCGCTTGCAGAAAGGCTCGACGCCCGAAAATATCAGAGAGGTCGCCGATGATCGCTTGCAGAATTGCCCCCATCACCGAGGGAGCGGCGGCGATCCAGGCAGCCTGTCCAGCCTCATTGGGGAATCGCTGGGCAATGAATGGAATGGCGGATGATGGAACAGTGCTGGACCAGGCACCAGCTAAAACCAAAAAGCAGAGGGCAAAGATATTGCCCATGACGAACAGACTGAAAGTGAACTCTTCATCTTCTTCCAGGTCATCTTGGGTTGGCGAGTGTGCGAACTCGCTATGCTCGCTGGCGGGTTTGCTCATGGTGAATTATTGTCTTCGGCAGGGTCTCTTCAAGCTTAGAAGTACTGCTGTTTGGTGTCTTTCGTTTGCTCTTGATCTGTTTCCGACTTTGTATTTCTGAGTGGGGGATAAGTTATGGATATAGGCGAGTCCATCCTAGCTGGTTCCTGCACACAGCGCAACTTCCGATCCCTCCAACCGGTTCGGTTTGAAGGAAGTTAGAGCTTGATGGTCTAGGCACTGGAAGTAGTAGAATTCCGGGCCAATGGATTGACTATTGAACTCTAACATTGGGGCAAAATCGTCCACCCCGGACATCGGACCTGACCCCGGACCCCACCCCCGAAAAACCCCATACGGGGGAGACATGTCCCCGGCGTTCCGGTCTGGGACCCCAGATGTCTGGATTTGCAATGTTGAATATCGGCCATCACATGAATGTCCCCTCCGTGGTAGTGGTGGTAGTAGACTGTGTCAAGGGTATATGGCCTCCCTAGCAACAAGAATCGAGGCTTTTGTTATGGCCTACTGGTATTTTGCTGTGTCATTTCCCACAGACCCCTATAGTCTCTTCCTGCTTAATCCCCTCTTCATAGTATATAACTCTCTAAGATATCATATTGTGCTTTTATGATCTCATGTAGTCTGTAGACTCGAACATGTAAATAGAGGTTTCTTTTATTCAATCATACGGCTATGTAGATTCTTGTAGATTTCCGCTACGGTTCAAAACTAACACTAGGTATTATAACTTCATGTCCTAACTCACTGAATATATAGTAAGCCCTATGCCATCTATCTGTCCTGTAGAAGCTAGAAGCCTATTAACCCACACACTTGAGCGATTTAGGCAAAGTTGGGTCCCTAGCCTCAGACACCTGAAAAAGTGTTGAATCTAGGACGTCCAGATGGGGAATAGGACGCCTCGATAGGGGGCATCACCGTCACTGTCACTGTCACTGCCATAAAGCGTACTCGCGGCTTCCATACCAGAACCGCCCAATGGGGAGTCCTTCGCAAACCCATACCACTGCCATTTTCCAGTTGAACTCCGAGGGCCTGACCAAGTTGCGTGGACGACATCTGCAGCAGCATTGGTGAAAGTCTCAGTAGAACCACCGCAGTCATAGCTCTGTCCAACAAGAACATGTGAGTCAAACTCGCATGCGCCAGGCAATGAGATATACCCATTCAACACACCATCCAATCCATCACAGTCCTTGATGGTCTCTGCCGTGATAGCATTAATCTCACATCCGCGGGGAGATACACTAGGGCCAATAATCTGCCATAGCGAATTGCGGAAAGTTAATCGCAAGACAAATCACCAGAATCCCGTCAAAGCCCTAAGGGTATTTCTGGGCCAGCATAAGCGCCTATCTCCTACCGGTTGACGCACTATGGAAGTACAAATGATGCGGAGCAACCCCGTAGAACGACTTCGTAATTGCTTTACCAATCTCCGCCATATCATAGAGCATGACGTGCGTAAAGTTCTCCAGCGGATGCCAATTCACATTCCCCGGGCTGGAAAGCACTCAGGACCCAGCGTCGAATAAAGATCGCTCTAGATCGTCACCGTGTCCCCGCCTATCATTATAACGGCATATCCGTCCACTAGACCTGGTATCATATAGAATGCAGCCATAGATTCCCCGCTAGTGGCGAATCCGCTTCCACAAGTCACCTAGAATCGACCGTTCCATCCTCCCGATAGGAGATAGAGCGTAACCGTTTCGTCGTCCTATCCGGGATAGGTATATTTAAGCGCATACTAAAAGTATAAGCCGGTATACACGTCGGATTTCTAGCCTATTATTTTAGAATTCGGGGTCGTATAGTACTAGCGCGTGGGGCTCGAGGATTTTTCCAGCCTTAGATATCCGGGTATGTAATTCGAGCGGAGTTGCACATAGTGCTAGGCTCGTAATATTGACGGCGGGATTCACGACTCCGGCCGTGACTACTATGGCTGCTTGACGGCCGTCGATCCTATGCGTTATACGCGGCTACATAGGTGGCGGCTAGCAGGGCCCAAGTATACTAGTTCATAGTCGTGCTATAGAACACTATAGATTGAGAGAAACACTTGATCCAATTTGATTTCATACACTATTTTTGCCTTTTTCAAACTGGTAGGTTCTCCGGATTAATAACGGATACCCATTCCTTTTGGAGACTCAGATCTTAGATTCAAACCCACCCGAGGCTAAAATATGTTAATTTATCAACTGACATCAAGCTCGAAGGGGTTTCTAGGCCTTTTTCGGGTAGAACACCCAACCGTGATGATTGATCCGTGGGTCGGAGTGTCCTATTGACCTTGACTTCATTGCGGAGTAGATAGACAGTCAATGAATGGAAGGCTGGACGATGTCGTCCACAACCACTCCACCCGGAACAACGGAGAATGTAGACTAAACGATACCCATTCCTCACGCAGCTTGCATCTCGTATTCATCCCCACAAAGCCGAGGTTAATTTATCAACTGGTCTCAACATCATTCGAGGTTTCAAGCATGTTTCTCGGATAGAATCTCTAACCGCGATCCGTAGGTCGGAGTGTCCACTAACCCTAACTCCGTCAGATGGACCGCCAATGAACGGAATAAACTGGACGATATCGTCCATAACCAAAAGTCCACCCGGAACAACGGAGTATGAAGAAGCAATAATATAGACTAAACGCTAACGTCGGAAAGGTTTCCGAATTTACAAGGGTTACCATCTCTATTACCAAGATCAAAGTATAAAATACGATATAAAAGCTTCAAATCTGCCACATAATTGCCTTTCCACAAGTCACATACTAAGTCCATTCCTCTTAATTTTCATATCTTGCATACGCATGACTTGAAGCAATGACCGGAAACATCCCAACCCCAGAGGCCTTGCCCCTGCGCCCTCCATATGATCCCGCCCTGCAACCAATACTAAATATCCTCGACCCCAAAATTTTTGAAAGTCTCGAAAGCCTCCGCAAGGTGTCCAGCGCCTATTCAGCGGAAACAATTCTTACACTATGCCCCGACCTGAAACACGAGGAACACACTGCCGCCGGTACCGACGGTGCAGTCCCGCTCGCGGTCTTCACGCGAAAGTCCTCGTCGAACAAGTCCCGACCAGCGGTGTACGTCGTGCACGGCGGAGGGCAAATTTCCGGAAATCGATTCAGCGCGTTGGATAACACCATTCATTTCTTTGAGGGCATTGACATTGTCACAATTAGTGTTGAATACCGCTTGGCTCCTGAGTTCCCAGCCCCTGCTGCTCTCAATGACAGCTACGCGGGGTTCGTCTGGGTAGTAAACCACGCCAAGGAACTTGGTATTGACCCTGCGAAAATCATTATTCTGGGAGTTTCAGGTGGCGCTCCTATTGCGGCGGGATGTGCCATGCTGGTAACAAGGAACCAGGATACGAAACTCCTAGGTCAGATGCTTCTCACCCCGATGCTGGATGACCGGCCCCACCATGCATCAGCAAAGCAATTTGCGAATACCGGGCCATGGTGCGGAAAGGTCAATCAGATGGCCTGGGACTTTGTGCTCGGGAAAGATCGAACGGAGGATCAGGAAGTCAGTGAGCTTGTTGTGCCTGCGCGTGCGACGGACCTGACAGGGTTGCCGCCTACGTTCCTGGACGTTGGGGAAGCTGAGGTCTTCCGTGATGAGGCGGTTGCCTATGCGTCTGCTTTGTGGAGGTTCGGTGTTTCGGCTGAACTTCATGTGTGGAAGGGTGGGTTCCATGTGTTTGATATGGACGTTCCCGGGAACAAGATGGCTGCGGTGGCCATTGCTTCTGTCGCGGCCAAAAAGTCGTGGATTAGGCGGTTGCTCGAGTTGGATAGTTAGGCAGCTTTGGGACTGCAGTGGTTGAGGTAGTTCTGTCCAAACTCGGAGGTAACAACATCGGAAGTACACTTAGAATAGACGTAGCTAAAGGAAGGCACCAAAGCTGATAGGGCAACGTATCAAATTCTGGATAGAAGACATTCATTCATAGAGCATTTGGAATTTGGTAGTAGTTCTAATAGGTATAAAAGTCAGATTCAACATATCTCACAATATCTAGACGTCTAATGAATCACAAAATGTTTCATCCTTAGTGTGTTAGATAGCGTAGATCTCCGTACCACAACCGGCCTGTCCCTACATTTATTGAATGTGAGACTTTCATTCCATACCCAGTCTCAAAAATTATATCGCGCCTCATTCTATGCGAGAACGTCCCTTCTTGGTCTTTGGTCTTTCAAGACGGGGGAGGTTTGTGGTCAGCTATACCAGTACCTCATAAGTCAACATACGTGTTCTACCACCATTGCACTCTAGACGCTGATTCAAGGCATGCGCGAGACGCTGTTCAAGGAAATTGCAGTTCTCGGATTCTAAGACCTTCGGAGGCACTCCTCAACATTACTGAAGTCACGTCTGAGGAGGATGCGGAATGCTCCTTCGCCCGAGAAGGCTGGCAGTGCGATGATTCGAATCATGCGGGGATGGATTGGTTCAAATCGATATGTGGGCACAACACCAGTATTCTGTTTGGATTATTCAAAAAAACATCAAGACTTTTGCTTTTGGCTTGCGGATATCACCTACGGGTATGTATTGGATGACGTGGATACAGAGGTGATTATCATATCGGGTGTCATGGATCAAGACATCCCGCAGATGACCTACTAGAATATTCGAGGAACAAGGCGGTTGGGGATCTCCAAGGGAAATTCGCAAATGGTCATGAAGTGTGTGCACCGAGTCATTGAAGCTTGTGGTGTGACATTGAAGCAACAGCCCAATGTAGAAGCCGTCGATGAAGAATCTTAAAGACTTAAGCCGAAGGCAAGGCGATGGCAAGCGGAAGCAATATCACATCTCCACATGTGTTTCAAGATACAAAGGGGGAAGAAAGAGAGAAGTCATAGACCCATTTCCAAGGTTGTTTAGGTTGCTTACCTAACCACCTCGAGGACCGCTGTTTCGTGCCAAATCGGGAGACTTGTTTATGCTTGCCCCGCGTTTTCTCTCTTATTTCTGTATCATAAAAAACCTGTGAATAGTTACGATACTCACTTTTTTGCATTGTCGCATTCCTTGGCGCTCTTCCACCCCTTTGGCGGCACGCGTGCCTCCCGTTCCATGAGTCCGCCATGTCGGCCTCGTCGCGCAGCCAGAGCTCCTCCCCCGATATCCTAGGTCCTCCAGGCGATGCCCAATACTTGATCTCCTCGCCGATTAAACCCTTCACAGGGCGCCAAAGCTGGATGTCTCCTATGATCAGGAAATCACAAACTCCGGCCAAGCGACCGCGACCGCGCGTCAGCCTCAGTCCCGCAAAAAGCGCGCATTCGATTCAATTCAACGATGTCATACTCCCCGGGTCGCCGACAATGAATTTCAATGGTGGTCGGCAAAGGTCACTCTCTCCGGAGAAGCTTCAGGATGGAAATGTTAGCCCGTGGCGCATCCGGCTCACGCTCGAAGCGACACAAGACGAAGATGACGAGAACCGCGGTAGCCCGTCGCGCAAACGATTTAAACCCTCGACCATGACAACGATGATACCATTGAAGGATGAGAGGAGTCCATTGAAGGAGAAGACGCCCTTAAGGCGGCGAGGGCGTCCACGAAAATCTGACATGACTTTGTCCCCGTTTCCCGGGGGCGCTGGGCAGACCCCTCGCCCTGGACATACACCTGGGCCGGGACATACACCTGGACCCGGGCATACTCCTGGACCCGGGCATACTCCTGGACCGGGGAATACTCCTGGGCTACGAGTTGATGACTCTCAACCGCGCAAAAGAGGCCGACCACGGGGCACGCCCAAACCCAAACTACAAGATTTCCAGCTGCTGGATGACCAACCAACGCCGACGGCCGAATATGATCACACCTTTAGTCCGATGGATATCGTTCCCAATAGTGATGCTCGCCAAGCCCGGCAATTCAGCCCTATGGACACCATGGCCAATGTAGCTGGTCTAGGTCAACATGAATACAGTCCGATGGATACTACAGCTAGTGAAGCTAGGCTGGGCCACCGACGATTTAGCCCCACGGATGTCTTCACTAGCGATGCTGGCGTAGGTCAAGAACGGTTCAGTCCGACGGACTCTTTCGCTGGGAGTAATGCCCACGCTAGTCCCTTGAATCTCGTAGGGGATGCGGACTCCGAAGACGACTCTTGGGGGAATTCGGACATGTCGATTGCAGAGCTTCCTGACCCAACAGAGCCCATCACGGAAGATATCAGCAATATCCGCCGTGAGTACGGTCGAACGAGTTTGGAGACGCCTGTTATCGGAGCTACGGAACATCACTTTTTGGATGATGAAAACATCCACTCTACCCCTTCTAAAATGCCATCACCTACACGCGAGAGAGCAATCCTGTCATCGAGGGCTTCTCATAATACGTCTAGCCCACAATCGCGCACATATCCGACTCCAACCCCCACGTCTTCGCTGGCCGATGAAGAAAATCAAACCCGACAAGTCGACGAGGATCATCCCCCAAGGACAGACAGCCATGATGCTGAAACCGATCCCGTTGAAGATCCCGCAGACGAGTACGATGAATTTGACACTATCATGGAAAGTGAAGGATTCACTATGATTTCCCTTGATACACTACCGTCAGCCAAGCAGCATGGATTCGGCTCTAGTGCTATGGCGAACGGCGGTCCCAAACCAAAGGAAGTCGGAGACCGGTTGAGACGGAAACTTCCTGGGACGATCGAAGACCTCCGAGGTGATTCTCGTGCTCAAAAATCATCCAGCCCAGTCACTACGGGCCTCGATGCTGGGTTATACGACAATCTCAGCAGCCGTATTCCGGAGAAGCACACTCTACATGCGACTGAGCGGCAGTCCGTTAACTACGTGAATGAGATCGCCTACCCTGAACTCCCTGCCGCATCGTCTCCCGCTAAACCAGCAATTGTTGCGAAGAAAAGGACATTCACCAGTTTAGCGAAACTTGTTCGTCTTAGCTTGGCTCTACAAGGTCCCTTTAGACCTCAAGAAGACGAGTGGTCGGGTAAGAGTAATGCTCGTCACAAAAGACGTCGGTTAGAGGGTGTTTTCAGCACATTCAACGCTGGAACGCAGCGGAAACTTCGAGCTGCTATGGGGCTAGGGCAGGAACTTGCTATGCGTCGAATGCTCGCCGAGGAAGATAAGGCTGCGGCTATAGCAGCAGATCATGCAGCATCTCGTCTCGAGGAGGAACGTCTCCAAGCGGAGCAGGAAGAACAGGAAGAACGTCACTATAATGACTTCAATGACGAAGAATTGGAAGAGCAAGAGGATGATCAACCCTTCGAATACGAGATCAAGAAGCAAGAAGAATACACCCAGCTTTCACATTCCAAGATCAACAACGCCATGCAGCAAAGCCCGATGTCCCACCAAAAGGCACAGCGCGAGGCACAATGGCAGCTTGAACGAGAAGCGGTCAGCCGCCAGGCTCAGATGGCTTCAAACTCTCGGTCGGTCGTCTATATTGATAGCGATGAGAATGTGCGGGAAAATGATGGGGACATTGGATTTGAATCTGAGGCCAGAAATGGGGTTGATAAAGAGCCGAATGATTCTGCACCTTCACCTGGACCAGAACCAGAACCAGAACCAGCGCCGTCGCCATCGCCATTGCAATATGCACCCCAAGACGTTGAACCCGAGCCCGAGCCCGAGGAGGATGAAGATGATGACTATGATGATATCTGGCAACTCGAAGCCAACGAGCACAGCCATATTTCACAACACTCCGAGGAGGAGGATGTTCAGTCTGATCCGCAGCCCCTTGCACGCCCTTTGGGCAACCTTGCTCCAATTTCTGCAGGTCAAGACTACCTAAGCTCATCTCCCTACGCTACTTCAGAACATAATTATGTAGCGCGCTTCGGGCCGTCCAAAGTTCGCGAGCTCCGTGAACAAAAGGTCGATTTATCTGCTTTGCTTGCAGAAGAGGATACACCAAACCGCGCGCGGTATTACAATGGAACGAGTACGCCTCGGAGTGTACTCACCCGCCCATCAGGGATACTGAATTCACCAATGAATAAATCTCTCATGAAGGACGCGGTATCGCGCACTCCAGCGCGTATTCGTTTACAACCTCTGTCCCAGTCCAGCCCTGATGTTCCCAGTCCACGGGGCCCCAGTCCACAAACCGCGTCCCTCGGTGGGAAGAAATCTCCGAAGGTTGTACAAAGAAGCCCGCCCATGCAAGAAGCTTTAAAAGAAGACTACGACAACACTGCATCCAATGCCGCTCTCAGTCCATCGGAATCTGCCAACGCGGATTCAGCCTCTACCCCACAGCCTCGTCAACACAATAGGGAGGAGCCAGGATCATCCTGGTTCAGTAAAATAACCAGTTTCACCCCGCAATGGCTCAAAGCCCCCACCCGTGACCGAAGCTCAAGTGTCAGTACTATTCCGGAGGAAGCATCTGACTTTGAAGATGAAGAGGAAATGGCCAGCATTGAATCTGCGAAGGAGATTGATGGACATCTCCAGGATGAGCCGCTCTCAAAGCAAGCGAGCCAATCACCCGCGAGCCATTGGAGACAGCCATCGCCATCCCAGTCTCCCCGGATACAGCAAGATCCTATTCCCACAAGCCATTGGAGACAGTCAACATCACCTCAGTCTCCTCAGATACAAGAAGATCCTATTCCTACAACGGAAGAGGAGGACCTGATCCACGAGAGAAGTGTTTCTCGGGACCTCTTGGAAGAGGACCCGATACACGAGAGAAGTGTTTCTCGAGACCTCTTGGAAGAAGAGGTGGCAAATTCTGAGCGGAGTGTCTCACAAGATCTCTTGGAGAACGAAGATGCAGAGCCAATGAACCAGCATGAGGCGTCTCCAGGGCCTCGACCACTTGCCCTCTTCGGATACTTCTCCGACGAACATTACGCCGCGCTTCGTCGTATCTACCGAGTTGCCAAGCGATACCCCGAGCGCTTTGAATACTACGATTCTCCAGGGCGGGCTGCCATCATCGGTGATTGGATATGGACCTCCGATGGTCATCACGGGGTGCCCATCACAGAGATCCAGTTTGCCATCATTGATCGCTTTGCCCAGGAACTTGCTCGGGCTGATATCCAATATGGTGGCAGCGGACAGATCGATTGGACAGAAGCTGATCTGCACCGGAGACTCATTAGCATCATTATTGGCGAGCAGATCCGAGAAGAAAGAAAGGCCAAGGCGAACCGGGGTACTTCGGTGGATACATGGCGATGAGCGTCTATTTTTTTTTCGCCTTTTTTATCTTATGCACTTTTTTGGATATCCGATGAGTACTTGGCGTCATGGTTTTGTTTTGAATCTGTTGTGGTTATGATTCCCTCACGGTTATTGGTTAGGCTTATGTGCAGCATTTGGGCTGTTTTGGCGTTATGCCCGTGATTAGTTTAGGCCTCTCTAGCCTCATCAGACATGAATGAGGTACTGTATACTATAACTTCCAAGTTTTCGACATGACCGAAGTACCAAATCCCGGAAGGGGATCCCTGACTTTAACTGCGAACACCCTCTGTATATTGCATCTAGAACATATGTATCTAGCCAACTACGGAGGTCTCCTGCATCAAGATCCCTTATTTCCCCGAGTATCTGATGGCCCCGGGATTAATCGCAGTTGGGTCCAGAACCAATTCAGTCCAGCTCATTATACCAATAAGTCAATATCAACGTGAACGTCAACTCCAAGCCTTATTGTCTCCTGAAACATACAACCAAGCAAACTGTCAACCCGAGCCCAAAGCAAACACAATCTACATTGAAGTCTCGACCAAACCTGCAGTCCACCACCATCTAGACCAACCAGGCCAACCCGGGCCTGCACGATCGTATACTTCTCACGCAGCCAGCCAAGCAGAAGCCGGAGAGCCTCGCATTCCCCACCTCCATGCGAGGTCCCTGCGAGGTGTCCCTGCACGCATTTTCGTCCTTGGGTATCGGTCTGGATCGTGAAGTACCACTTGGGAGGCAAAGGCATTTATTTATAAAAGCCATGGTAACTGACGATATAACATCATTCCCAGATCCGAACCAAGATACCAAGTATACAGCTCTATACTTCCATCTCTTCTGTTCCCGATTTCCATATATATAATCTATATATCGATTCCAAAAATGTCGGTATTCACAATCGTCCACCGAGCCCTCCCACCCCTATCCCTCTGGAAACGCCGAACAAGTCTAAAAGGCAAATCCCCCGTTGAAATCCTCAACGAAAAGAATCCCATCCTGTCAGATTCCATCACCCAGAACAATGAAACTATCTTCATGCACCGTGACGTCCACGGTCCCGTGCAGGTAGCGGTGAACACCGATGCACACAAACCAACCCAGTCAGCAGAAAACATCCCGGCTCCATCGGATTCGACTTCCGAGAGCCGAGCATGCTATTCAGGCGAGGCGCGTCCGGCTCGGGCACAGCTTGATCGCGCTGTTAGTTGGGCGAGTATTATCCGCAGTCGGGATCGATGGACGGATGAGCAGGAGCGGGAGCTTGTGCGTGCTCAGAGACAGTTAGGGAGGTGTCAGAAGGCGTGGAGTTCTGAGCAGGAGGTTTGGTTATCGTATGTAAGTGACTGTTATCTTTCTTTTCTGTTTTCTGTTTTCTGTTTTCTGGATGATTATTATTATATTATTCCAGAGTCGAGATCAGATTTCCGAATACGATCACAAGCAATAAATCAGTCCTAATTTTCTCGCTTCAGGTCCAGGCTCTTAGCGAGGAAAAAGAAGCCCATGCTGGTTTCTTGTCTATGCGACACAGACAGCAAGACGAGGAACAGCACCAGTTCCGTAAAGCGTGGAAGCGACGGCGATCTTCATCAGGTGATGACGAGATGCAGCAATCTGCAATCGAGATTGTGAACCGATTGGGGAAGTTGCGTCGCTTACAGCGCTCTGTCTCTTCTAGCTCGTCAGGACATCGGTTGGGCGCGATGGGATCGGCAGTTGTGGCCGTGGAGGCGTGAAATTGTGACGAGAGTGGCTTTGGAGTGTTGAAAAGATAGAGGTTAATTTGTATTCAGCTTAGAGTATTCTAATTAGTAGCTGAATGGACTTGGTATACATCAGGGGGTGTTGTGAATTGAATATCTCGTATTTGGACTTGATATCATAAACCATTCAAAGATATTCTCCCTAGCCCTACTTCTTCTCCTTATCCCTCCCATCAGGCCACTTCCGAAACAAATCCGCCAACATATCAATCGGCGCCGTCAAAAGCCCAACAGCAGTTTCAAAGAACGGCTCAGTGGGCGCAAGTGGATGCGCTCTCGACGGAATAAAGATCTTAACTCGATCCAGGGACTTGGTCAACTCAACACTCTCATCTTTAGACAAGAGCTCTTCAAGTCTAGGCAAATCCACGTCTTCCTCATGTCTAGCATGAATCCCCAGATCACGCATCAGCCCTTTAAGCGTGGGTAGGAACCTCGGATCCGTAGATGATAACTCCTGGAAGGTCTTCAACTGATGTTTAACAGCACGATGCTCGAGTCTGTTCTAATTTACTACCCCCTGTCCATCCGGGAGTGAAGTGATCATAGCAGGGTAAACGACTAGTTCCTCTCCGATTAGATGACGAGCTAGTTCCCAGACGAACTGATTTTGGAAGCGAGTTTGTTGGTCTGGGTTTGTTGAGGAGAGGATTTTGTGACTGTGGGATTCGAGTTCGCAGTGGTCGTGTTTTATGGCAGGCAGGATGCGGCTGTGGACTGTTGGTGTTGAGATGTCTTCTGTGTAGGTTTGAAGGGCTGGGATGTTGCCGCTGAACAGGGGTTTTGGGGATTCGGCTTTTGGTCGTGCTGTTGTCATTTGGAGTTTGGGGACAGGAGGGTGGATGGTGAGGACGCGCCGGAGCATGAGGATGGTTGTTTGGGGCTTGGAGTATTTGGTTTTTGTTGTGGTTTTGGGGATATATTGTGAATGTACTTGATAGCATAGTCGGTGGTGAGTTCCGTTTTTGTCATGATGATGATATGCCAGCCCTAAGTTGATATCAATAACTAGATGAACATTTATACTCGAGATAATCGCCCAGAATGGTAGAGCCAAACTGGACCTGATATTCATAATAATCAGTTTCGATGGTCATTTTGAGAATAGTATAAACAGTGCTTCTATGAACCCCGTTGATTGACCAGTGCATTGGTGGGAAATGGGAAATATAGCTCTGAAGAGCCTCTCTGAACCCGTCATCGACATTCATCATCTGGGGAATACACACTCGGGCTAGGCTACAAATATCCTACTCTAGAATGGCATTGGTCTGTAATGTTGACCAGGTAGGAAGACATTCATGAGCTACAATCTATAGATTAATAGCCTAAACCCGATATTACAGCGAATTAAAGAACAAGGTATCCATGTAAATTGTACTACCCAACATAGGGGCAAGCAAGAACGTACTATGTGTGTTCAAAGATCCCAACAACGCCTAACAGGTCTGGGCTCACATGAGACCGAAAAAAACAATAAACACAGAAGTAAAAGTAAAGTGAAAGTAAAATCATCCCAAACACCTCCGAGGTCCATCCCTCACAACATAGCTAATATCAATTGATAAAGGGTAATCCATAACCGCGACCAGCGGTAAACTCCCATCCCATCTTAACGTACATCCGAAATTTCATGTGCATACTCAGTGATTGCGGGTCCGCTTCCGACTGCGCTCGCGCTCCATCGCTGCAGGCTGGAACATTTCGAAGCCCGGATGGTGGACGGTGGGAGTCCAGTCGATGCCCATTGCGGGGGAGAAGTCTGGGTGGAGCTGGCTGAAGACTGCGGGATCGGCTGGGTGACCATCGGCTGGCTCTGCGGGGGCGGGAAGAGGAGCAGCGACGAGCTCGACTAGAGATGCGTCGATCCAATTAGGCGGTTTGCTGGCGAGACGGCTGATGCGAGCGCAGTCGTCATCGACTTCCTCGTTCATCAGGGAGGTCAATGGGGGTGCGTTTCCGTTTGGTCGTGCGTGGTGGTTGGAGAGGACGTGGTATGGGAGGATCGGGCGAGTGGCGGGTTTATCAGCCAGGTCAGCTAAGGCGCTCAGGGCACTGTGCGCGGCGGTTGTACGGGTGGATCGGGTGGCGTGGAAGTTGTGGCTGGCGGTGCGCATCATGTCGGCTGCGCTCGGGGTGCCGTTATCTTCGTGGCCTGTGCCCTCGGGGGTATCCTCGACATCGGTATTGTTGCCGTTCGTCACCGCGCCGGATCCGTGGTCTGCGCGTCTGGAGGTAGAGAAGAAGTGGACAGTTGCCAGGTGTGCCTGGTTTGCATGTGCGTTGAGTTCCTTATCGGTGAAGAGGGAGTGGATCGAGTAGGTAGGTGCCACCTGCTCCTTTGTGACCTCGGCCTTGTTGCGCTTCGCGGGCGTAGCTTCGCCTGTTTCCCGCGCAGGCGACCCAGTGTCATCTTCTGGAGCCTTGCGCTTGCGCTTGTTCAAATCTGTGATGATTCCGTTGCCCAGCTCGTCGAGGTCAACGCGATGACGCGTGTGCCGAGTCTTGCGATTGCTATGGATACCACCAGGGCTGGCGGGGTTTGTGATGCTGAACTGGTTGGGGTGGAGCAGCAGGGCATTGGTGTCAGCGATGTCAAGCTGCTCCTTTTCACGCATCAGACGAGCGCGCTTGCCGGAGATATTCTGCATCAATCGCTCTCGAAGGGTGGAAGACAGATGACGGAATTCTTCTTGTGCGAAGTAAGTGCGGAAATCCCGGTCCCGCTGTTGTCGTTCCATAACGTTGTTATAGTTGTTCTGTACAAGAAAAAAAAAGTCACTGATTAGGGAAAGCTCCTTATAGATGAGAAAATCACGAAACTCACCATCGCTATGACCAACTCTGCATCCCTCTTCTCCTTAATCTCATTAACCTGCTGCACAAATCTGGAATACCATGATCCAGCAAGGCCAGCCATCTCTTTCGCAAACTTGCTGCCGCCGCCAACAGTCTCCTCAATCAACGAAGCAATGCTCTCTGCGGAGTCCGGGAGCGGTCCAGTCACGTAAGGATCAGCATTGTTGATCAGTGTCATATCACACTGGAGTGCGTGCAACTGCTGACGAAACTGGATGTCCCGGTTATTACTGAACTGACCGGTCAGTTCCTGGAGCCGTTCCTGGAGCGCGGTGCGTCGCTTGTCGCGTTTTGAGGGTGCGCCGCCAGCCCCGCCGCCAGGGCTGAGGGGCGGAGGGTTCTGGTAGGACATTTTATGTGGCGAGGGTGGACGAGAAAGAGTGGTAGATTGCATTGAGTAGGTGATCGAAGGAAGATGAGATGGGAGGGGTGGGTCACGGTCGAATATGGACGGCAGAATGTTTGGCCGCCCCGAGAATAGGTGTGCAGACAAGATGAAGAAGAGATGACAATGAGTTTAATTGAATGAAACTGATTGGAGGTAGAAAAATAAACACAATGAATTGAAATACTGTGGTTTCCCCGTCTTCTATTGTTCTTCGTTGCAATTCAGACCCCAGCTATCCAGCTATCTTGAGCTATATACTTCGGCATAGCCTTCGCTTGTACAAATTTTACCACAGCTATAAATCATAGCCATTTAAACCGTTTATCTAGCAGAAAAGTCAAAATGATTAATCTGCATCGATATATCATTTATACTACGATAGTGCAGATAATGTGCGTTCAGACAATATGTACGTCCCGGTGATGCCTAATAAGAGCCTGACGAAACCAGAAGCATGACCCCTACATATACGAAGCGCTTAGACCAGTGAGATTATAGATTACAGAAGAAGCAAAAATGTTGTTAATAGCAGATATATTCCCACTAAATCGTGTATATCTATATCCATCATCAAGACAGAAAAAAAAAAAAAGATCATAAAACCCGAATCGCCAACAACAACCGGGGTATTCATAGTTCATTCAAAATGTTCGCGGGAATGGAACCCCCAAATGAGTTCATGCAAGGGTGCGAAAAAATTATTTCGCACCGGAAAATCGAAATCCAACACCGGGGACACCTCCAAGGGTCCCATGTCATCTTTTGTGAAGGCCGTTTGTTAAAATATGCTATTGCGGAAGAGGGTGGAAGAATGAAAAGAGGGAGAGAGGGAGAGAGAGTGATCTAGCAATACTGCAACGATCTAATTTGTTCGACGAATCACAAAGACACCAAGCTCGACACCATCACGAGGCTCATTGTCCTCGCAATACCGTCGCTTGCGGATGCCATCGCAGATCTCACTGAGAAGGCCGGAAGATGTGACTTCTTTGTTGCCCATCATGCCGGAGCATCCGGAGCTTGCGCTCTTGGATGAGCGGCGGCCGTTTTGCCAGTACAAGCTGAGGACTTCCTTCATGCGGGCCTTCTCCTGGTGGATGAACCACTCGGCCCAAAGGCTGCGGTCGAGGTGGGTCTCTCCGCGGCCCGCATCGGCTACGTGGAATCGGGAGGAGGAATCGTTATCGCTCAATGATTCGCAGAGTGCCACGATGTTCGCCTTCATGGTGGCAAAGTCATCCATTTGAGAGACGGATGAGAGCTTGCCAAGATAGCGACCCACGTCAGCGGACAACTCATTTACCACAACAAGTTGCCGGAGAAGGGGGTCGAGAATGGGGCCCAGGTACTGGGACTTGAAGGTTGATGCACCTTTCTTGGTCGGGTACACAAAGAGGAGGGAGCCGCCATTCGGTGATAGCTCACTCAGACGGTCGACGAGGAAAGATGGACGGGTACGACAAAACAAATCACGGTACTCTTGGGCGGAGGTTGGGGGAAGATAGCGCTCGAGGACCGAGATGTGGACGCTGCGAGGGGGGACAATGGGCATCGGGGCGTGGGACATTTGCCGTTGTAGGGGCCCACGGTAGTCATGGTAAGCACCCACAACTGCTGCACTGGAGAAGACCGTGGCGTTGAAGTAATCCTCGGTGGCAGCGGGAGAACGAGGAGTGCTGGGGGGAGAGTGGGGAAGATTCGAAAGGCTAAATTGTTCCGGCACAGCATGGGTGACATTGATATAGGGTGACTGGCCAGGTTGCAAGTGGTTGTGGACGGCCTGAACAATGGAGGAAAAAACACTGTCGGTTTTCGGTACTGATGTTGTCTGATCAGATGTTCTGGGATATGGAAGAGTCTGGGAAACGATTTTGACGGCTTCGCCTCGTGTCTTGCAGAGAGCGAGTGATGAAGCTGAATAAAGTCAGTGATTTGACTTTCAAGCACAGATGTGTGGAAAGCTTACCAGTCAAGTTGATGCCATGATCCAGCCATGAGCCCATGTCCTGCTGGCAGTCCATCTCATCGTGGGGCCCAGGGCTGCCTCCTGAGCTGGAGGATCTATGAGAAAGCCCATCGGATGGGCTGCTGAGTGTATCGGAAGCACCGGTGGCAGAGGAATTGTCCACACTCGGGGTATCCATCATGACCATGGATCCCGGGTGGGAGTGTGTATCAAACAACATCATCTCGGATTTAGGGTTCCAGGCAACGTGAATATCCTCGTCTGGTGGCGTGGGGGGTAATGTAGCGGGGTATTCGGACTGATAATGGGAGTCCCAAGCGGTTGAAGCAGCCAAAGGCCTCGGCCCGCGAGACACAGTGGTTGAAAGACGAAGACGAGAGTCGACCGACCGAGTACGAGAATCCAGACGGTAGGGCGAACCAGGTGAACGAGGCGAGGCACGTTGATCCCAAGATGGGAAGTTCACGGCCACGCTACTCTTGGAGAGAAAGCGAGATACCGGCGAGGGTCTTGCTCGAAGAGATCCTTGTGAAGCTCGTCGGCGAATCCTAGCGGGGTTAAGGGTTTCCTGTGTATCTGACTGCTGAGGAAGATGTGCTCTTGTGTCGAGTTTCACTGTTGGTGGGACATGCATGGTGCGATCGTCAGGATG